CCCGCGCTCACTGCGGCCGCGCCGCGCCCTCCTCGCGTCACGCGGCCGGGCCGGGCCCCGCCGACCCGCAGCCGCCCTAGCGCCGTGCGGGGGTCCCCCGCGGGGCAGCGCTCGGTGCCGCGGGGCCGGCGCCGAGGAGGCGAGCCGGAGGCAGGGAGCGCCGCGGAACAAAGAGCCCCGGGCCGTGCCCGGCGGTGGGGCAGCGCCGGGGAGAGCCTGTCGGCGGCCCCGCGGCCATGCCGCCGCCGGGAGGGGAGGAGCGGCCGGCGGAGCCCCGGAGGGGCCGCGCTCGGAGGGAGCGAGGGGGCGGCCCGGGGACGCCCGGAACCCCCGAGCGGGGCAGGGGCGGAGGCGCGGCGGGGTCCGGCCCGGAGCCGTCCCGCGACGGGCGGCGGTGCTGCGGTGCGCGGCGTCGCCAGAGGAGCGGCGGCCCCGGGGAGTGACTCCGGTGGGGGAGGAGAAGAGGAAGAAATCAGAGTGCCGCGGGCCCGGAGGGGGTGGGGAGGCGAAGCCCTCTCCTCCCCCCTCCCGCACGCACTTGCGGAGCGCTCAAAGTTGCCCTTCAGCATCGGCGGCACCGGGAGACGAGCCCGTCGTGCCCCGGCTGCGCTTCTGCTTTTTCCTTTTTTTTTTTTTTTTTTCCCGTGTTTTTTTTGTAGCTGTTGTTGTTGTTATTGTTTTTACTTTTTATATATATTTTTTTCCTTCTGGTCGGTTTCCCCGCTCCTACCGAGGGTCGCCGTGCCCGGCGCTGGACAGTCACGGAGCGATGCCGCTGCCGGGCGGGAGGGTGGTGCTCGTCCTCGGCTTCGTCCTGCTGACAGCGCTCGTGGCCGCCGTGCGGGGGCTGCCCGTCAGCAGACAGCGCGGCGGGCCCAGGGAGAGGAGCTCCAAGCTGGCCGAGGTGAGTGGGGAGTGCGGCTGACGGGCGGGGCGCGGGGGCCCAGGTGAGAAGCGGAGGAGCCCGGCCCGGCCCGCGGTGGTGCGGCTCTGCCGGTCCGTCCCTGCAGTGAGTACGGGCGGCAGCGGGGAGAGCCGCTGCTGCCGGCGGCCGCTCGCGGGTATCTCGTGTCGCAGCGGCGTGAGGCGAGGAGCGCGGCTCTCAGGTACGGCGCGGGGTGGTTGGTTGTGAATGGGGAGCGTTGTTCCGAGGACCGCAGCAGCACGCACAGCGTGTCCCGCTTCCTGCAGAAGCGCAGGCATCCAACGCGCGGACTTCTGAGGGCGGAGGTCCGGGTGAGACGGAGAGCGGAGCCTTGCGCTCCCACACGCCGCAGCACGGCGGGGAGAAGGTGGTCGGTGTTGTCCCGTATCTACTAACACGTGGGAGCTGCGTTTTGAGAGGGAGTCCTCAATTTCTGGCGCACGTAGGCAAGAAAGTTCAGTGCTAGGGAGCTGGACTGGGTGACCTTTCAGGGTCCCTTCCAACTCAAACGATTCTGTGATGATTCCATGATGAATTGAGAGCAGTCGTGCCTAGCATGAGCTGCAGCAGACAGCACGAGCGCAGCAGTGCGGTGGTTAAGGAAAGCGGGAGTGATTTTGGGTCATAGGCACAGATGGTTCGTGTTGCAGAGCCGATAGGTCCGGTCTCTATGGCAGCAGGGCCGCCACATCTGGAGTATTGGTTACACTGTGGGTAATGCCCTGCAGATGTGGGCAGGACGAAGGGGCCCGCAGGAGAAAAACAGAAGTGATGGAGCGGGGCAGATGGACAGCCACAGCTATTAAACAATTACAGAGTGATGACTTATTCTAATTAAACGTCTTTAAATAAAACTAACATTTTTTTCTCCATTTAAATTTGAATGGGATTTTTTGTAATCTCTACTGAACCTAAGTTGCCTTTCTGTGCTAAAGCAACGTAGAAAAATTAAAAGGCCATTGTAGCACTTTTGAGTTAGAAAGTCTTTTAGTTGCAGGAAGGACAGGCAAAGCATGCTTTATGGGTGCAGCCTTGGTGTGTCCTAGATGCTGCACACCTGCAAGGGTGCTTCACTTCAGCCCTTGCAAGTGAATCGAGCGCTCACATTTGCTTTCTCTCCACTGAGATACTGTGCAGAAAAGCCTTGCCCTAATTACTCTTGAATCTTTTTTATTCATTCTCTTTCTTCCAAACCGTGCCTGAAAATCTAACAAGAGAAGCCATCTACAAATTGTCTAGCTCTTTGGCTATGTTTCAGGAGGTGCAGGGGCTCCAAAGCAGCATGAATTGAACAGCAGGGATTTCTCCTGCAGGCTGGCTGCCTTGCAGCCAGACATGGGCGGCTCTGCAGCAGCTCACTGCAGTATCCCCGGCTCACACGTAACGCTCCAGGTTTGGGTAACAGAGTGCTCAGAGTGCTCGTGTCCCTGTGGGGACAGCTTGTCACTTTGCTTAATGCCTTGTTTGTTTCTGAAGTCAGGGGGTTTCAATGCAAAATATGTTTTGATAAACTCCCTGGATTCCAAAATCTTGGCTTTGAGCATTGTTGGTAGATGTTTGGATTCTTTCCGACTGATACAAATCAGTTCCAGTGCTCTTCTAGGAAGCATGAAATGAGTGATGCTCCACTACAACAGCAAAGCAAGCTCTAGAAGTGACCAAACTTGTGTTCACCAATACAGCTACTGTGTATAGTTGTGCATAGAGGTACCTTTAACAGCAGCAGTACCAGCACTGTGCTGGCAGTGAGTCTCCTGCAGTGAGGCCATGCTGTGAGATCCAGGAGTGTGCTGTTGGAGTTCCCCTGTCTGAGGCTGCAGGCAAAGCTGTTGTGATGAGAGATAAACGATGGTAACAAAAGAAATGCCAAACAGTGCAAGGGCTGTACTGACTGTAGATCATAGGCTTGTGAAGCTTCTGGTGTAACTGGGCCCATGGGAAGTAAGGAAACAAGAACAGTGCTCGGTATTGACCGACCGCATTCGGCAGTGAGAGAAGCGAGGGAAACAGAGTTTGGAATGAAAGTTCTGCACTGAGATGTTCTGTTTGCTGAATAAAGTAGTTGTGGCAGTTCTGATCAAAATCACAAGCAGCTGGGGGCCGAGGCTGGAGGAGCACATGGAATTAAGTGTGGCATCAGGTGGTGCGTGCCTGGCACTGCAAGCAGAGGGAAGGGATCCCAAGCCAGGTTGGGTCAGCTGTGCTGGAAGGAAGTGGCTGGACTGGAGCTGCCGGGCCACGGCCAGTTCTCTCGGCACCTGGCAGTGCAGGCACGCTGCGTGGGGACACTGCAGGGACAGGAGGGGTCTAGGTGGCACCCCGGCCCCAAAGCCTCACTGCTGTCACTGCGCGGGCAGCCCTGCTGCGTCAGCGGCAGTCACTGCCTGCGGATGTGCTTTTTACCTTTTCATTTCTTCAGCAATTAAGCGTTCTTGTCCCTGGCTTTGTCCTTGGCAGAGGTCGGATTTGCGGGCACAAAACGTGCACTGAAGCATCCTTCCGCCCTGAAAGGGACTCTTTGTGCGCGGGGAGGTACTTTACCCTTTGTAGCAAATTTCCTTTTGAGGAGTGCCAAATTATCTTAGTCAACACAGTTGAAAACCCTCCCGCCCTGGGGCCGAGTCAGGCGCAAACAATGGGAGCTGGGTGCAGGGGAGCTGAGCCACCGGGGGCTCCTTCCTTCTCACTGTGCAGACGCGGCTGTGCGGCCCCACAGCCAGAATCAAAGGGGTTCCTGCAAAAGGCACACGGAAGGGAAGGGATTAGGCACAACCTCTAGGCATCGCCCGGCTCTCCCTGGCACAGCGACTGTTCCTGGAAAGCACTCCCATCTCCCCTGCTCCTGCTGGCCTGGACCAAAAGCCCCCACGGTCCCACAGGAGCTGGAGCTGGAGCCGAGCGCTGCTGACGGAATCGGGCTCCTGCATACCTTAAGGACTGATGATGGCAGTTGTGCTTCCAGCCACAGTCCCCTCAAGCGCAGCTGTGACACATGAGCAAGCTGGTGTAGGGCATGCATCTGGGATTTCTAGGTGGTGTCTTAGGGTTGGGAGTGGAGAAAGGAGCCTTTTGCTTTCCATGGAATCAGTAAACGTTTTTCCACTCGTAATAATTCCCAAACCATCCACCTGGCGCTTCCCCGTGGGTAGGGTGAGGCAGGCCGGGCCGCTTGGTGTTCCCAACCATGTGGCAACTGTGGTCTGTTGGTGCTCAATGAAAACACCACAGTCAAGAGGCAGGGCAGGGCAGGCAGCAGCTCTTCTGTGTAAAAAAGCTCCCGTTACAGACAGAAGTTTGTAAAAGTGTGAGGACTTCTTTACTAATAGAACGTTTTTGAGGGGAACATTCATTAGGCTGTCAGATGCTTTTACATGGCCAGCTGTAAAAGTTGGCTAGCACGCTGTGTCTTAGGGCTGCTCAGCTTCTGTACCTCTCCTGTGTGGCAGGACTCAGGTTGGCCTGAGGAGCTTAGGTGCCTTAGAGATGAAGACACCGAGAGAATGGTGACCCACCTGCCCAGCAGCCCCAAGTAGCTTTTGACTGTGGGTTGCATTTATCTCCCAGGGAAGGACATAGCTTCAAAGGGAAAAGAACACTGTAAATTCCTCCCAGTTATTGCTGCCTTTGCTGCACCCTGGTGCTCCCAGCTGGGCCAGGAACATGTCCTGAGCTGTGGCAGCGATCATTGTGCAGGGCTGTTCTCTCCTTGGGAGAAAGAACTCCAGGCTGCTTGGCAGGAACTGCGTCGCGCTGCATCGGCTGTGGGGAGGAGGGACGGGGACACTTGCTCTGCTCTGTTTGGGGGTTTTGGTCTCAAGGTTCTGCCTGAGCTGCAGTGGTAGAAGAGGCAGCAGCTGGAGCAGTCAGAGCGCTGCGGTACCCATGCTGACAAATGTATGTCATTAGCTGGAACAAGTTAATGGTTACTGGAGCACATGGGTTTTAGAGCTGCAACAAGTTAACAGCAACTCAGTCAGGCACATTAAGAGCTTATGTGAATTAGGGCTCAGCTATGTTAACAGAAAACATGTGCCCAAGCAAGGGGTTTACCTGAGAGAACCAGAGGGTATGGCTCTGCCTGTCCCCCTCTCTACATGGTCCCTGAGGGGCCCTGGTCCCACTCCCACTGCTGTGCTCAGTCCGGCATCCAGCCAGCTGGGCAGCTGCAGGGTCTGGAGGGCCCTTCTAGGCGAGATGCCTCCGCCTGCAGCGTGGCCTGCTGGGGCTGGCCTGTGAGCGCAGTCCCTCAGCACGAGGAAGGCTTGGGGCCTCAGATGCTGCAGGGACATCTTGGCTGTGCCAGCTGGACATCCTGCTGGCCCCATTTGGTCCTGCACACAGCCACACGGTGTCCTGGCTCCCCACGGCCATGTTTCTCCATGCTGGAGTGTCTGCCCTGCTGGGTCTGGCTCTGAATTAGAGACAGTGTAGTCCCAGACCTTGGAAGAGTTCTGAGATTGCAATTTCCACAGTTATGGCAATAAATGGGGGACGTGAGGCAGCCTTTGATGCTGCCTCCTGTAGCTCGCTCCTAGGGACAACTGGGCTATGGCCATTTAGAATTAGAGTGTTTCCTTATGATCTGAAGTATTTTGATAACTGTGAAAGTTATAGACATGGGGGTGCAATATCTGCTTGGCTCTGTTTGGTGCCAGCTCCTACTGGTCCATTAAAAACAAGATCTTCCCACACCAGAGTGATAACCAAGTGCCTCATCTGTTCCATGAGCACTTACAGAGCTCTCTCAGAACATAAAGGGAGCTGCTTGTGTCATTATTTAATAAAAGAAAACCAAAAAAAGAACTCACATGAGTTGATCCTTAGGTGAAAAGGCAAGCAGAGCAGCTGGGAGGTCTTGGTCCCATCCTTTGCTTGCATTACAGCCCCCATGCAGGTAAGAACGTAGACAGAATGGAAGAAGAGTGGAAGCTGAAGGTGTGTGATCTTCAGGAGCTCTTCTGTCAAAAAAGAAAATTCTGCTCTCTGTTTGGTACATTGCCGGTTCATGAGCAGTCAGGTTTGCGATAAAGCACAAGATGAATGCTGAAAAGTCAGAGGGAGCTTGGAGAAAAGAGTAGAAAGATGCTTGTGTAGACTCAGCTCTGTTCAGGAAAAGATTAATACTTCTGGTTGCATTCTTATTTCAGTATAATGTGGTAAAACTGTATAAAGGAAACACAACACAACAACACAATCAATAATGATTAAGCAACAAAAAAAACCTCCATTCCTTATAGCCCACAGTGCCACACAGCTTTCAGCAAATGTGTCATTTTCTTCACTGCATTGTTAACGACCCCCAAGCATAACTTGAACGTTGCCTCTCACTGACTTACACGTGCACAGATTTCCAACTAAGTGAGTTTATGTTCCCACTGACCAGCTTGGGGTAGGAGCAGGCAGAAATAACATCCTCCAAGTGCCAGTGCACAGGTTCCATCGATGTTTCGCCCCCTGTGAGTTGACTGGAGTGTGCTTGGCTTGGGTTTATCCTGCTAACAAAGACCAACTCTGCTCAGCAGCACATGGAGGTGCATTGAGTGCTGCCACTGGGTTCGTATGTAGAGATCTGGCAGCTTTCAGCGGCTATGAGATGCTGTTGGGGGGACGCATATTGGTGATGTGGGTAGCAGCAAGGTTTTGTCATAGGACAATCTAGCACAGGGACTGATTTGATGATGCTTGCAGGTTTTAAACTGCTTTTTTAACACAGGGTTAATTCAGAGTCTCATAGGGTTTACAGCCAAGTTGCAGTTTTTAAGACCAGAAGAAACAGTCAGGTTTCTTCTGCTGAATTTCTTCCCACCGCAGATGCTTTATATGTGTTTGGGCCAGTACCTTGTGCAGGGCTGCCTCCACAAGAGATAAAGCTTCTTTCTGTGTTAGCTTCTTCTTGTGGTTAGTCACCTACAGCATCAAAGCATGATTCTTATTTTTCAGATAAATTTGTATGGCTTTGACTCGCAAACATTGGTTCCTATTATGTGTTTCTAACATTGGTTCCTATTATGTGTTTCTGTTCTGGATTAGAGTCCCTGGGGCCTGATGGGTTGTTTCCTTAAAGAAGTGGGAAATCAAGTTGATTGTTTTATCTTTTTAACCTGACAAATGAATTGTATGAGTCTTTAACTGGAGAAATCTTTGGTGCCCTGGAACGGTTTTGCAGCTGTTCTCTTCAACATTTTCAGATTTCCAAGCAACTTCAATAGAACTGTTTGGACTAGAAATGAGAAAATATCAGCTTTTAATCTCTCTTCAAAATGTGTGGCCTTTCCCCACACTTTTTCCGTATACCCTGTCAGCCCTGTTAGGTACAAAATGTGTGTGGCACTGGGGTGAATTGCTGACAAGTTCCTTCCACTTCCTAATGCCTATGCTCAGTTTGTGCCCTGAGGTGTTTAGGTGACTCTAAACGTGGGAGAGCTGGGATTGCTTGGGAAGAGTTCCTGGGCTGTAGGAAGGCAAATGTGATCCTGCCACTTTGATTTTATAGCCTTCAGCCTAAGCACAGTGTTCATAAATCGAACAAAACGCTGTTTCTTTCCCAGCCAGATAAGACATCAGTGGGCATCATGTGGACAAGGGAGGAACTGGAGCTGGGCTGTGGCAGTTCCTAGTTTGGTTTTTCCTTTGCTAGTACAAGCTGGTCACTGAGGAAGGCTAGAACTGGGCAATGGCCACGAGACGCTGACGGCTTCCAGGCACCATGCTGTGCATTTCTGATGCATGGTGGCAAACTTACTCTCTTGATGGTAGAAGATGGGAATTGCCAACAGCATGGTTTGCTGCATTTTACTGATGGCCAGGTTTGGGCTAGAGAGGACAAGCTGAATACGACCTCATGCATAAATCCCATGCAAAGGCTCTGTAGACAGGATTGTTTTAGCTGCAAACAGGCAAGGTCTTTTTTGTGAGTCACCTGTGGGGGCCACCCAGGCAGACACCCGCAGGGGTCTTTGTGCCCCCAGGGATCTGGGAGCAGAGGGAGCTCTGTCTGCCCAGTAATGCTTCCCCAGCTCGCTCTTCTGTGACACTTTTACATTTTCCCTGTGGGAACAGTACTCTGAATTTCTTCAGCTTGTTTGGGCGTAAAATCTGAATTAGGCAGTGGGTGTAAGTTTGGAGACTTAGAGTCTGCTCCTGGCTCAGTCGCTGTGATGTCCTTGAGTGAGCTCGTATCTCACTGCTGGAGACCTTCATTTCCACGTGTATTACATTTGGGTCCTCTGTGAAAGGAGCTTACCCATTAAGGCCCATTAAGCTTGTTATGTTCGAGCGCCAGCGTCTGCTGGCTGTGCTGTGCCCAAGGGCTGCATCAGGCCCAGTGCTGCGGGCAGTGCTGTGTGGCCAGCGCTTGCCCAGCACGTGAGGCCATGGCCAGCCTTCCCTGTCTCCCTGGCAGGGGCTTGAGGCCTCGAGGAGGGACAACGGGGTTGCTCTTCTGGACCCATCTGGTGAAGTCTGTCACAGGCTCTTCCCTGCGCCCAGCCCGCTCTGGTCAGCAGCCAAGGGACCAGCAGTGTCCCTGCTGCTCTTTTCCCTCCCCCGGGAATGGGGAGGGGGATGCGGGCTTTGATGTGCGGGCACAGGACTGGGGACAGGCTGTGTGTGCTCATGAGAGCCTGGCCGGGCTCCAGCTGCCTTTGAAGTGCTCCAGTGATCAGGATGAAAGGGAGGGGAGTCCTTCTCCAAACCATCTGGCTCTAATTGCAGGTAGAAATGCCTCTCCGCATCCCCCGTGGGGAGGGGCATGCCGCTCTTGGTTAATCCCGCCACTCGTCTGGGCTGGGGTGGAGGGCAAGAGTTTGGGAACAAAAGGGGGTTTCAGCCAGGCAGCCAGAAATAGACGCTTGGTAGAGCTGCTGGGGCTTTGGACACCTCTGCACCCAGTATGGAGCCGCAGGGCCCTGGGGAAATTCCCAGGGAAACCCATGCCGTGATAGGGCTTTGCTATTTGTTCTGTCTCTGATTTCATCCTTCTGATTCACACCCTTCCATGCCAGTGTGGAGGTGAGGGCTGTGGGGACGCAGAGCCAACCTGGCTGTGCGGCAGCTGAGGGTCCCTGCCCGCTCCTGCCAGGCCACTCAGTGCTGGGCAGCAGGGCTCTGTGTGTGTCACTGAGGTGGCAGTGGCAGACAGTCACTGGTAGTACATACAAGTAGTTTGCTTTGTTGTATTTGGCTGGGCATTCTTCCCAAGGAAATAAAGGCAGTTTGATTATATCAACAGTTCTGTTTCCTCCTTGCAATAGTTTTTGGGCAGCATCTTAAGTCTCACTTACTTAAAGCAACATAGGTTTAGTTTTAAGTCATCTGCACTAGTACTGATACACAGAGTGATTTCTCTAGGTGAGAAATCTTGTTGTAAATCCCGACACGTGAGCTCTGGCAGCTCTGTGCTCATGAGCAGCCGTTGATGTTACCCATTGCCAGGAACCATGAAACAGCCAAAAAGGGAGAACAAAGTGGAATGCCAGGTGGCACCAGGAGTGGGACTGCAAAGAGATGCAAAAGAGGGTGATTGATGGGATGGAAGCGCAGCCTGAGCAGACCTGTAGGCTGCCTGAGTGCATTGAGGTCCCAGCACAATGCAGGCCTCTTGGTGTTAATTAATTGTTAATCATTGTTCTGCTCCATGCTGCAGTGAGATGAGGCAGGAGAACTGTTCAGCAGAAAAGAGCAGATCCTGCTTTGCTGGGCAGCAGCCACCCTCAGGAAATGGCTGGGTGAGCGAGGGGCCATCCTCACTGCCTCTTCCCCCTTCAGGTCTCTGCCTCATCAGACCCCCGTGCAGCCGGGGACGAGGAGCTGCCACCGTCGGGCAGGGCACGAGGCCTGCGGCGCAGCGGGCAGGCAGGCCCACGGCGGCATCGGCGCCGTGGAGCCGCTCAGCAAACGGTGAGGAGCCTGGTGCAGCCCCAGCCCAGTGGTGCTGGCCAGGAGGAAAGCCTGCCCTTCATGCTGGACTTGCAGAGCTTGCCAGGGCTGGCCAACGTTGACCTGAGCGCCCAGAACCCCAACATTCAGGTGAGAAGCGGGGCTGGGTGGGGTACAGGTTGAGTGATTCCCTAACAGAAAAATTTTCAAGAGCAGCTTTCTATGGCTTTATGTGGTTGTGTCTTGGTATCTTGGCAACTGTCGCAGGTGCAAATAGCAGCTCAGCTTCTGAGGGGCTCCACTGGCCAACCTGCAGCGTTGCCACAAACAGTGCCTTTCATTCTGACCCTGCTTAGTCCCTCCGAATGATGAGATCTCTTGTGCTCATAGTCCTGTATACCAAAGCAGCTATGGAGCAGTCCTTATGCCTGAGGACACGCCACAGCCATGCCATCAGCCGTGCCTTGACTCTCCACTCTGCCTTGTATCTGGCTTCCAGGTAACCATTGAAGTGGTGGATGATCCTCAGGCTGAGATGGAGATGGACCTGTTGAAGGAAACAAGCAATGACTGGTCCTTGACGTCCTCTGAGTGGTTGTCCCACAAGGACCTCTTCTGGCCTCTTTTTTGGGAATATACTGACCCCAGTGAGGAGGAAGAGGAGGAGGATGAGGATGACAATATGGGTGTAGGGGACAGGGATGAGGAGGAAGATGAGGAGGATGAGGATGAAGAAGAGGAAGAAGATTACACTGCGGAGTATGAGGAGGAGGAGTCCATGCTCAGTGGAGTAGGTGATGACTGGGAGCAGCGGTGGCCCAATCAGAAGAACTGGATCTTTAAAGAAAAATATAATTATGGTGAGTCCTCTTGAGCATGGTCAACAGCAGCTGTCCTGCAAACCAGAACTGTCCTCCCCTGCTCAACCCACCCACAGCCCTGTCTCACTGTAGTGTGAGCACCCATGCCCAGGGGACTTTGAGCACCAGGGAGGTTGGGAATGGGCAGTGACGGCTGGGTCTCAGAGACCATGAGCACTGTGAGAATGAGAGTCTTTGCTTGAGGGCTGCCAGTGAGGGCGGGGTTGGCTCTGAGCATCATGTGTCTAGGCACCGCAGGTGGCCCTGTGTCCTGTAAATGGCGTCTGAGGAACAGGGCAGAGCTAAGAAATATCTGGGGTGGCTGCTGGTTCCTTCCTGCTGAGGCTTTCTGCAAGATTCATCCCTCTCTGCCTATCCTGTGCCACATGCAGACTATGAAGATGAGGAGGAATGGAGCCCTTGGTCTCCTTGCAGCATCACTTGTGGCAGTGGCAGCCAGAAGAGGACGCGGTCCTGTGGCTATGCCTGCACAGCAACAGAGTCAAGAACCTGTGACCTGCCACGCTGCCCTGGTGAGTTTTTGGCCATCCTGGTGTTCAAGCACTGCTGGGACACTGTTCCGCCCCAGCAGAGGCTGATCCCCCCACTGCTATTGCTCAGCAGGCTGGACCTGCTGCCAACATGGGGAGGGAGGGAAAAGGGCACAGGGAGCAGTCTGCTCTCAAGGCAGGGACACTCCTAGCTAGCAGGTCAGCAAGGGGACCCTTGTTCCTCAAATCCATGTGCAGGCCCCAGTTTTGGCTGCCCTCTTGAGTTTGAAATGCCAAATCCCTCTTATCCAAAGGACTGCTCGTGGTTCAAGAGCTAGCTAAGTTGGATATGATCTGGATTAATGAATGTGGGTGCTTATTTCCATGAAGAAGCTCTGGTGCGGCTTCATGGTGCCACAGGCAGTTGTGTAAAGTGCAGGGATGGTGGATTGAAACCCCAGCTCCTTGTGTAATGCCTCACACCTGTCTCTCAGGGAGCCTGAAATCCAGTCCCAGGGTTTACAGAGAGCCATCTCCATGCACTGAGATTTGCATAATCCCTGTGTCTATGCCCTTATGGCCAGTTAGTCTTGCATGTCTGCCTCCTACAGGCACAGGGCCCTGTCACCAAAGCAGTGGAGGGAGAGGTGCCCTTAGGGAGGAAAAAAAGCCTGCCTTCCTTTTCTGGATGCTTCATCTCTGGAAGTGTTCAAGGCAAGGTTGGATGGGATCGAGGGCAGCCTGATCTAGTGGATGGCAACCTTGCCCACAGCAGGGAGTTAGAACTAGATGATCTTTAACGTCCCTACCAGTCTAAGCCATTCTGTGATTCTTTGTTGGTTGTTTTTTTTTTCCCTTCTCAAGGAGCAGAGGGAGAAATAGTCTTCCCTACAGAGGAGACTCCTTTCAGAAGTGACAACACCACAGAGCTGTTCAACTCAGGTCAGCTTCTGCCTCGTCCTTGTGCTGGGGGCCTAGGTGCTTTCATACAAAACCCTGTGGGAAGATGCAGCTGGCGGGGAGGGCTGTCCTAGAGGCTCCCTGGTCTGTATCCAAACCTTGCTCCTTTCATTGCCATGTGCAGGCTTAGCTATGTTTTATTGCCAGCAGTGCTGGGACATCCAGTGACTCCCACAGCCACAAAGGATACGATGAAAGCGGTCCTACTCCATGGCTTGCAGTGGTTGAAGCCAGCCTGCAGCCTACCCTCCTGCAGCTCCGCCATGGTGGGATGCTGCTGTCCTTCCCCTCCAAGAAGCCTGGTGGCTTCTGCCAAGTTTTGTGGAGTCTCCTGGTGGAGCTGGCAAGGCTGCGGATGAGCAGTGGCAGGGCAAGGAGGGGTGCTTGTGCCCTCACCCTTTTTCTGCCTCTCTCCTAGATGTGGACAGCTGTGAGAAGTGGCTGAACTGCAAGAGTGACTTCCTCACCAAGTACCTCAGCAAGGTGCTGACGGACCTGCCCAGCTGTCCCTGCTCCTATCCCCTGGAGGCTGTTTACAGTGCTGTCAACCTGCGGGATGAGCGACAGGGCAAGAGCTTCCGCTGGCGGGATGCCAGTGGCCCCAAAGAGCGCCTGGACATCTACAAGCCTACAGCACGCTTCTGCCTGCGCTCCATGCTCTCCCTTGACAGCACGACGCTGGCGGCCCAGCACTGCTGCTACGATGAGCACACTCGCCTCATCACCCGGGGGAAGGGTGCTGGCGTCCCCAACCTCATCAGCACTGAGTTCTCCCCAGAGCTGCACTACAAGGTGGACATGTTGCCCTGGATCCTCTGCAAGGGCGACTGGAGCCGTTACCATGCTGTGCGACCACCCAACAATGGGCAGCAGTGTGCAGACAACCCAGCTGAGGAGGAGTACCTCTCCCAGCTGCAGGAGGCCAAGGAATACTAGCCACAGCCATGCTGAGAGGAGACATGGGGCCACCACGCATCTGGCCGCTGACAGATCCTGCCCTGACCCATGCTGCAAGGGCTGGAGCCATCCCTCATGTTACCCTCCCTTAAGGCGCAGCTGAGCTCCAGCCCTCTTGATGGGCTTCTCGTGGGGCCAAGTGGAGCAGGAGGGTGGAGCATCCAAGCAGCCAAGTGGATGCACCTCAGTGGGGCATCTCAGCTCCCAGCAGGTTTGTGAGGGTGCAGGAGTTTGTCACTGTGTCACCCCAGCTGTGCCACTTGGGGCAGGCCCCCAGCCCTGCTCATTTTTGGGCACTGCAGAGCTGGGGTGCAGGGGATGAGAGGCAGGGGCTAGTGTCAGGGGAAAAGGGTCTGCTCCCTTGTACTTTTTCTAGGGTCTCCTCCATGGTCTTGCAATGCAAGCTATGAGTGAGCATCTGCAGTGTGGAGTGGCCTCAGTTCCCATTGGTGTCATGCTGCATCTGAAGAGCTGGCTGGATGCAGGCAGGGCTGCCTGGTTCTGTTGGTGTGCCTGCCCTGGCATGTGCTGGCCTCTTCTACAAGAGGGGATCGTGCTTCGTAAAGGGACAGGGCTGTCCCAGCACTGTATGTGGAATGGAGCCTCCTGTCTTCTTGGCTATTTGCATTCACAATTGGGAAGGAAAATATGGAGGCTTAACAAGGTTTTGTGGATTAGTGAGCGTATGTGGGGCAGGGCAATGAATGGCCACATAGGCTTCTGAAGCAAGATCATCTTATCTGGTTTTAGCTGCTAAAGGGAGCACTCAGTGCCAAAGTGTAAGAGAGGTGGACCTTTGAAATAGTTCTTCACAGGAGAACCATACAGGTCTGCGTTGCAGCCTCTCTACCTCAGTGCTTAGGAGAGTAAGCTGTCTGCCCCTGTGCAAGTTCTATCACCAGCCCTGCTCTGTCAGATTCCTGGTGGCTCCCCAGCAGGCTTCAGTGCTTGGAAGCCAGTTCAATATGGCCTGGCATAGAAAGTCCTACATTTCCTACTCACAGCAGCCAAGCCACCACTTGGTGCTGTTACTGGAAGAGGAGCAAAAAGTTCTGAGCCGAGTTCCCTGTGGTGATGAGGACAAATCACCACTGGGAGCATGTGACTTTGCCCTTTCTTGAGTTTGCTGCTCATCTCTTGTCCTTCTGAATGCATTCTCTGTGTGGTGTTTGCGTAGACCCTCACCAAGAGGCAACCAAGAGAAGCATGTCCTGGTTGCACCCTGCTACTTTTGGGGCTTGCTGCTTTGCTGAACAAGCAGACATTGTTCCAGTTGAGGAAGAAACATGCTAGTAGTGTCAATACATGGTGTCTGCAAATCATGACACTCCCCATGGCCACTTTGATCTTGCCTGTTGTTTTGTTGTTTTTTTTTATAGTCTTACACAGATTCTTGTCAGTGTCTCCCATCCTGTTTTTGGGAATTCCAGAGCTCCTGAACTTCACACAGGAAAGTTAGGCTGAGCACCTTGATTTCTTTGCATTCAGTAGTTGAAACTGGCTGAAACTGTTCTCAACTTTCATTTAGCAAATCTTTTGCATCAGAGGAAATAAAAGAGCAATTCAAGCAAACAGGAAGAAGACTGGAGTAATTTCTGAACTAGAGATTTCAACTAGGGTAGTTGGTTACTCCTTGTTCTTTTGCAGAACACTGTCAGACCAAAAGATGTCTGTCTAGGTTCTGCTGGCCTTGAATTGGCCATCCTGTGCTAGTTCTGTCCTAATCCCAAGAGCCTTCTCCAGGATGAGTGAACATCCATAGTCAGATAGCTCTTTGGACAGTCTTTCTAGGACTATCTAGGATTATAAGCTGAGTATCTGTTGATCCTCTTGCTTCAGTTACTAGTGGAATATTGCATCCATAGACATTAAGATGTCAGGCATTACATAAAGAGTAAGGAGAAAAATGCAACCAACAAGCATGGATGGAAATACAGACCATGGTAAATCACTACTGCATGCTCCCTAGCTGAAGTGGTTGTTTGCTCCCTAGCTTTCTATGAAGAGGTAATTCATAAGGAGATGGTCCAGAGGGGATGACAGTGATCTGGCATTTTGGTTCTGGGAACCTGAGATGTGTGCACTGACAGATATGGAAGCATTAGTACTGGAAGCAAATAAATTGAGTGCTGAGCTGTGGAAGAATGAGCTTTGTGCCTTCTGTTTCAGAGCAATTTAATTCCCATAAGACATCTTTAACTAATACAAACAACCACATGTTCCTCACGGACAGTATTGGACCTGTGCATGGAAGGGAGACCTCTGCAAATAGTTATCTAGAAAGAGACTTTTGGTAACTCAGCCAGTTTATTTCACTGGTCTCCAAGGCAGCAGCCCTAGTGAGGGCTGTTACCCAGGTATTGCCCACTCCCATGGTTATACTGGGGATATCAACCAGTCTAACCCCCCCAAAAAGAAACTGTAATTTCTGCAGTAAATGCAGTTACCATCCAAGGGCAAGTAGAAACACTTATTGCATTAGGCCCCTACAAAAATCTGATTGAAAGCCAAGTGGCTGTTCTGCCTGGCTGCCCCTGTGGATTGGAAGGTTACAGGCATGAACTGGAGCAGGAAAAATGCAACAGTGATGTTCGTCCCTCGCACCTTGCACACCAGGAGGCTTTGCAGTGCACCATAAGAAAAGTAGACATTGAGCAAGCATTTATTTTTACGTGCCATCAAAGATTCTGTCCATCCCACTGCTATTTAAGTGACGAATCTCTTACCCTCCACTCTATAAGTTTATTGTGTTGTTTTTTTTTTTAATATATAATATATATGAGATTTATTTCTACAAAATTTCATAGAGAATTCTTTATTCTGACACTGCAATAAAGCACTTTATGTATGTGTGTGTTGCTGATGTCATTCAGTTGGGACTGAAGCATACACTGTTGGAACCTTTTGTTCTGTCTGTGCAGGATGATGCTGCACTGAGTGCTGAGTGCCTCAGGTCCCTTTACTGCCGTGCTGCAGGAGCCTGGCTTTGCTTTCTTATCATATGCATGTGGTGATGTCGAGCACATTTCAGTAGCAGAAGTGCATGCAGATGCTTCTGAATGTTGTGAGCAGCAGTTTCCAGTTGATCACAAATGCTCAAAGGAGTCTGATTTTCCTGACGCCATTTCCAATCAGGTGACAAGGCAGAAGGATGCAAACCAGGGTACTTTGGATTTCTCTTATAATTGTGATTCAAATCCTGGCAGCTTGAACTGTGCAATTGTAATGGTGCAGAAGGCTCAGGTCTCATGTTCTTTCCAAGCTTTGTCCATCCCCAACATGTACATGGTTCCTTCGTATGGATTGTGAGTGACGGTTGTGGTAGCTGAAAAGCAGGGGTGGGTGATGCTGGTAGACAGGGGCTGTGTATGTGTATGGGTGTAAACTGACTGTAGAGAGAGACATTGTCCATGTGTGTCCCCCACTTCTGTCACTTTTGCATGTATCTGTGTTTACCTCTCCTTCCCCATCTCCTGGCTTGGCTAATGGCAGAGCTTGGTGGGACATGGCCTTTCTCTGTCATGCCTCGAGTACAAAAGAGCTGTAAGATATTGATGAGGTTCAACTAACAGCAATAACAAAGAAGGACAAGAACATGGAATGGGAAGCCAAGGGATGGCAGGGGAGGGCTACAGGAATTAAATTCTGCACAAAATGATGGAAATCTCCTACAAGATCATTGGGGGCTGTTTAGAGGTGCACTGCCTGTGCTTCAGCCCTGATGCCAAGTTTTATTACATACTCAGACCTTACAGGAGCACCCTGCTAATCACAGGTGTGTGCATGAGAGCAGATGAGAAAAACACAGCATCTTCCCAGCTGGAAAACTGATTTGGTAAACAAGCTCCACAGCCAAAAGCTAATGATAGCAGAAGGATTAGCAAAGCTTTCTAAGGATCACAGCTTTTTGTGGCTGTTAATTTGCTGCATAAATTGTGACCACTTCTAAGCAAGCTCCTGTTATTTCCAGCTGTTTACCCTCCCCCTCTCTTACCACTTTTGCCTTGTGCTGGCTGTGCACCTGTCAAAGTCTATCTGGGACAGCAGTAGGTGGCTCTGCTCTGCAGCTGCCTGGCGCCATTGTTGGCCCCTGCCTGGGGGCTGCAGGCTGTTCCACCAGGCAAAGGATGCTCCAACACACCAAGCTCCCATTGGTCTCCTTTGCATCAAAACCACCACTGCCTGCAGCCTGACTTGGGGTAGCAGGGTGAACTTGGCTCTCAGGAAAACAGCAAAAAGTCACTCTGCTCCTGGAATCAGAAGTTACTGCTCATACAACATGCATTTATTCATCAGGTGAGGTCCCTGTGTTACTGGGCCTTGCTCCAAAACTCTCTTATAGAAATCTTACAGGAACAGGAGGTGAAACAGGATGAATTACTGCCCTAGCTTTGCAGGAGAGGAAAGGGAGCACCAGAACTGGAGATGCTGTCTGAGACCACAGTCTGCAGCAGTTTCAAGTTGTGTTTTTGCCTGCTGCTCTACACATACCGCTTCTCAGCCTGGTGAGTTGTCCCAACCCAGTTTGGCAGCTTTGTGTGTGGCTCAGCCACACCACTTCCCTGACACCCTATGTGCAGTGGAGTGGAGCAGTCTGGGGCACAAGGTCTGGCCTTTGCCTGGAACACAGCAAAGTTGGTTGTGATGATAATCCTTGGGCCTTGACTTAAACCTGAGCCTTTGGAGATGGAAAGAACACCCTTCCAGGCAGAAATCAAGCATTCTAGCCTGCAATGGGACGTCAGTGTAGCAACACATCATGCCACAGTGGATGGGCCCCCATGTTCACAATCGGGAAAGGAATTTCTTGCCCTTCTTCCCCTGCCAGGCAGCATCCAGCTGCCCCTCAGAAATGCCGGAGATGAGCCCAGCTGGCAGGGCCTGGCCCCTGCTTTGTTGAAGGTATGTCAGCTATTCTCCTAACCCAGCATGGGGCCTCGCAGTAGGGACCACAGCCCTGCCTTGCCAGGCCCCACACAAGGTCCCCCAGGTGGTCTGATCCCCAGCAGCACACCCTACTCCAGCAGACCCTGCTGGGCTGTCCTGCAGGCACTGGCTCTGGGAGCTGAGCAGCATTTGTGGGACCACCATAGGGCCTCTGATGTGGCAGGAGAAAGGCCTTTGCACCTGGAGTGGTGGATCACAGATAAAGGATTATTATGGGACCTCCTAAAATCACATAGTTCTGCCATGGGGATGTGGGTAAATCATCTCTCACCAATGGGCCCTCTCTCCTGGTCTTAAAACTCTCCAGAGATGGAGAGGTCGCTGTATTCCTCAGATTTACTGTTCTCACATTTTCCTAGCAGCCAACCTAAATCCTTTAGGTTTTAAGCCTGGTGCATCTTATCTGCAGTGGTCACAGAGAGCATATTATTTCCTTATTTGTTCCTACTTCTCACATATTTGCAGACTTTTATCACTGCAATCCCTCTTTCCCTGCCTCGCTCCTCTATCTTCTCATCTCCAGACTAAACAAATGCTGTCTGTCAGGTTTTCCTCAGAAGCTGCACTCATTCTTGTTGCCCACCGCTGGACTTTCTCCATGTAAGCTACGTCTGTCTTGATATGTGCAGGTTCAGAACAAAGCTGTGGAGCTGGAGCTATCTTAATGCTCTATGGAAAGATTTCTTCACAGAGCCCACAGACCTGCTTGGGCAGCTTTTTTTCCTCTTTTGTCATTATTGAAATTTATTTTCATTTGAGAATTCACTATAACCCACCTATCTTAAATGTCTTTCACAAATGTGTTCCAAGCCTGTCATTTCCCTGTGTATGCGTGTTACTGGTTGTTCCTGCCCCAGTGCAAAGCTTTGCAATTCAATAAGGTCAAATGCGCATGTGTTTTCTCCTGAATCGCTTTTCAATTTTGTCAAGAATATTTTAAACTCTAAACTTTAACATCTATCTCTGATGTCTCATTGCTGTGAAAAATTCACTGCTTAGTTACGTTTTCTGGTTGTTTCACTATTGTTTTTTGTTGTTGGATTTTTTTTTTCATTCACAAGCCTTTCCCTCTTAGCTTGTGTCATTTGAGATTCTTGAAGACCGTCTTGGCACAGGAATATGAAGTTGCTTTTCTTTCTCATCTTACATACCTCTCCCTCCCCAAATAGCTGAGGGTCTGCAAACTGTGTCCAGATCTCCTAATGCTTCCAAGCAAAGCAAAGGTCTGGGGCACCTCATTAGCATCTGTATGGCTGCACCAGATGTCACCTTTAGATGGACAGGTGGATGCTTTGCTGAGAGCAGGCAGACTTTGACCAGCATGAAGTGAGGCTCCACAACAGTACTGTAAGACACTGCCACTACTATGCCCCATCACAGTAAGTATATCCTGATACCTTTTGTCTCTTGGCCTAAGAGCTAGCTCCGAGCCTGGCATTTTAGCACCAACTTTCCTTCAGGAGTGGATGAATTTCATGCACTATATTGTGAAGAGCAGCCCCAGCCTGGCTACCTGTCCCGTGGGGGTTGCCAGCACAAGGGGCATGGAGCCAGCTGGGGCAGCACTGGCATAACTTACGGCTGTATGACATGCCCTCAGGCAGCCTTTGAGCGAAACCCAGAGCCTGAGAGCCTCTTGCTCACAGGCTGCTGGCTGAGGCCAAAGCGTGTCCTATTAAGAGTAGCAGCAGGATGCCCAAAGTTTGTGATGAAAGGAAGGCAATTAAAATTCCAGTTCAGCTGCCTTCCTGTTCCACTTCCTAGTTTTCCAGCAGCAGGTGATTAGCTCAGCCTGTCTTCTGCGGCCCTTGCTCAGCTGTGCCAGTGAGGCTACACAGACAGCAGCACTGCTGCCACAGCGTGGTCAGCAGGCCAAGCACTGCCAGTACAGCACAGTTCAGGTGTTGGGTTGGTTCAAGTTAACTCAGAAGGAGCTTATCTTCCATTTTCAAAAATTTTGGCTCTTCTCTTATCAAAGCTCTCATCTTATCTGGGCTAGTATGTTCACAGAGGTTTCACATTTCCCATGTTTCAGCCCAGGATTGTCTAAAAACAAACACATGCTGTGCAGTAACATCAGTGCATGCATACAATGTCAGCCTCCTGCATCCTGCAAGACACTTACAGTAGCTCACCCATGTACATGAATCCCAGGAAAATACTTCCAGTACCTTTCTCAGCCAGATGGCCTTGAAGGGTACAGTGAGGGAACATGGATGCAGGGAAGTCTTACCCTATGTACAAGTGATTGGTCCTTCCTACAACTTCCTTTTCAGTCATATAAAATTCCTACCACACTCTTGATACTCAGGATAATGCGAGAAAAAGTCACCCTACTGATTTTACATTGACACTTCCAAGCAGAATTCATCTCCCTTTTCCCAAGACCTGGTTATGCACTTCAGAAGACACTACCAGCAGAAGAGAACAAGCCAGAAGTTTTCTCTTCTTCCCCCCCACAGAAGCAACAGCTGAAGTGGGGTCAGCCAAAAGAATTGCACCTTGTTTATTTTAGGGGAATAAATCCACCCCCACTGAGACACTAAGTTTGTTTTGGCCTGAAGCTCTTGGAAGTAGCTGACCCTTGCTGGAACCATCTTTTAGGTGGGAGTTTCCCCAGCAGTGGTCTGCTGATTTTCTTGGACACTGGGTGACTAATGATTGGCATTCCCATAGTAGAGGCTGGTGTAAGTACATGAAAGGATTATGTAAAGAGAGGGATATGCAAGGGAGGAGAGGCATGGCTTTAACAGGATCTTAGATCCCTTCAAAAATGGCAAGGGTTTGAAACATTTATTAGCAGATCAAAAGCAGAAAGAAAACAAGCAGCTGCTCAAACTAAAAACTGCACCAAGCTCATGCCCTCTGTGCATCCAGAAATGAGAAGTAAATCACATTGGGATCAACAATCCTCATTGATCAGTGTATTTCCAGACGGATCCCTCCCTCAGTCTGGCCACTAAACCTTTGAACTTAAGCCCATCTGAGGACACAAGTACGCGGTGTTTTTTTTTTAAGTTAGGTTTATTTAGCAATAGAAGTATGTACATGTAAGAGAATCCCCTGCAGCACGAGACATGCATGAAGCAGTGAGGGACTGAAAGTGGTGCTGCTCAATGGCTTTCCTCATCACCTATCATCCCACTCTACCCAGCAGCAGGGCCAAGATTAGAAAAGGAGAGGTGAGAAATGTATCAGTCCGCATCGTCTTTCCAACAACCATTATTAAAACAAGCGGGCACCATAGCCAAATGTCTGTTTAATGCCCTCAAAGTAGTAGCGCTGCCAGCCTTGCTTTGTTCTCTCCTCCTCACTGGCAGGAATTCCCTTGCCTTCCAAGCACACCTCTGTCTCACCACCTTTGTCAGTGAAATTCAAGGTAATTGTTGCAAAGTGCCCTAGAGGAAACAAAACAAACCTGTCAGCAAGTGCAGTACAATAGGAATATCCTGAGGAGCTCCTTCTCTCACAGAGCACCACTTAAAAAGACTTCTCAGGATCCTTCCAAGAAGGATCTATTTATGATTGCTGCAGGCCCTCCTTACAAAGACAGGTTGGAGACAGTTCTGTTTTCATGGGGTTCAAAGCAGCCACAGCCAACCAAGCTGAAACTGCTACTTCATCATTCCTAATCCCTAGCTGCTGCCTTGGGGTAGCTCATGACTGTGACTTGACTGCGTAGGACATGAGCCTGGCTAAGACACCCTGGTGATTCCCCAGAGTGAAGTGTGGCAAGCAAGGCTGGAATTCTTCAAACACAAGCTAGAGCTGTAATACCATAAACCAATTTGGACAACTTACCAGCTGGCCAAGACTTAAATCTCCATTTCATAACAAGTTGCTTCTCAGGGACCTTAAAAACAAAGAGAGACTGAGAATAATTTCCCCCCTTTCTCCCCCCCCCAAATTCTGCAGTCTAATTTAAAACAACTATAACTGTGCTTGATGTGAAGTCTTTAAGAGTCCCATGAAAACACCACAGCCTGATTTTAAGTGGCCTTTTCTTTCCACTCATCTTCCAGGAAGGTAGGCCAGGCTGAAGCAGATAAGGAATTTAGCCCCACAAGAATAAAATGATAGGAGGGGTAAAGATGAAAACTTACTACAATTAACACCTTTCCCACCCTCAACAAATAATTAAAATCGCACAAACACAGGACAGATGCAGGACTAGATAACAGCTTTTTTCCCCAGACCCAAGTCCTGTAGGCAGACCCATGCTATAAGAAGCCCTTCAGTAGGCACAGCAATTAACTACTGGGTAACAGGTAGGGATTTGTGATTAGCAGATTGAAGGACTATTGAAAAATTGCTTTTTCAAAAACAAAAGCTGCCCCAAAGCAAGACGCAGCTGCATTAATGAGTACTTACTAGGTCAACAAACTCTCCTGTGACACTGCCATCCAGCAACTGAAACTTGCCTCCTTTATCAGCCTCCAGGGCTGCGTGTGCGTGGGTGAAAGCTTGGACCATCTGAAAAGAATTCAGGAAGAGACGTGGGTTACTTGACATTATCTGCTTGCAAAATTATTGCCTAATACCTCCCATCTAGCTACAAAACTTCTGGAAGAGGAGGCAAGAATAAGTTCTTCACCAAGGAAAGACAAAAACATTGCCCTGGCCAGAAAAGCAAGGCTACAGCTGATAAAGCAGCATTTTACTTACCAAGGGAAAAGAACCCCTAGCTTTCACTGAGAGTTCTATGCACTTGTTCTCTAAACTACAATTTGATTAACTTTGTTGAGTTCCTTAGACAAACCTTTACTTTATTCTTAAAAGCAGGGGAACTGAAAACTAAGATTCTGAATAACGATACAAAGCTACTATGTATTTTACATAACAGTATGTAAAGGAGAGGAATCTGTTCCATAATTAGGGTTTGATAATACCTAAACTTGAAAGTAAAAAGCAAACAAAAAAAAAAATAATCCAAAAGCACGCAAATGTAAATCCCAAGAGATCTGGTCACATGCAGTAAGGGATACACCTACAGACAGGTGCTGACAGCTGTCTGGAACTGGCTTCTGGATGGCATTAATCCACTCTTGTCAACTGTGTGAAGAAATGCACACACGAGCTTCAAGCAACTGTCCTGCAGACCAGCTTTCTTATTCCATTCTCATGGTTTATGAGTGTCCAACAGAACGCCTTAAAAAGCTTCTTAGGAACAACCTCCTATGTGCAGCAAAGAGCAGTTCTCAGAACAAGCCTGGAGTTACCTCTTGAGTAACGAACACTCGGTAGAGCTCCTCAGGAGATGTTAAGAATGTGTCCTTCAAGCTGATCTTACACGTAGGGATCTTGACTCCTATGGACTTGGACTGTGCTGTGGCAGTACTGGTGCTAGCAGTCGTCTAGCAAAACAACAAACAAAACTGGAACACACCCGCATTTTTTTTCTCCAAAACCTCAACAAGCAGTCATGTATCCAAGGAAAAAACAAAGGCCTTGGGAAAAGATGCAATACTTTGAGTACAAAAGGCAGATTCATTAATCTGCTTGAATAAGAAATATCATGTGCCACAAATAGCAAAAGGCCTGCACTAGAGACTGCTAGTCAGTAAGTACACATCCCATGAGCAGAAGCTGCTCTTGTAAGCCCCGGTATCCAATACACCATCCATGCTGTCAGAGTTCCAAATGCACACTTGCAGTTTTATTTACCTTGCTGTCTTTTGCTTTAGGTGCCACTTGAGGTGCTGCTTCCATATGTTCACCATTCACTGTAGGCAATATCATGCCCTGGGTGAATTCTGGAAAGACAGAAATGTGCTCATGAAACTAATAAAAGATCAAGCAAGCCTTTTATCTGTTCTCTGAAACACACAGCTGAAAAGGCCTTCCTGGTTTCTGCCCTGCTTTTGCTAGCACCCACATCTTGAAACCAGATAAAAGAAGTAAAAATAAATAAGAAGGAAACAGGTCTCACGTCGCACCCACTACTCCTTACCAAAGGGTATAACAAAACCTGTCCACAGTAACAGTTAGGAGCTTCCTTCCTATATCTAGCCCAAACATACACCATCTTACACTTGTTACTTTCACATCATGGTTTGCCATGCACTCACATTTTTTTCTCTCTGTCTTCAATACAAATAGCAACCAGATTTCAAATACTTCTATCTTGATCTAAATCAATCATACTTTTCCATTCCTTTACAGACCAGACTGTCTGTCCCTTTCTCAGATCACTGTAGTACAGAATCAAGTTACTTCCAACTCCATCTTCAATTTATTGTCTTATGCAACAAGGTAACATGCCCTTGGATCCAGGGTAGGTCCTACCAGTGCCCTGCCCAGCAGTACTTGCGCAGCTCCACTAGAAGTTGCAAGCCTCTTTTGTCATCATATTTGCTTTTTATGTAGCTCTATCACTTCTGCCTTTACCAATTATAGAACAGTTGGCTCACTCCTTCCTGTTCATCTGTTCACATTGGCAAAATTCCATCATATATCAGAACGTTATTAGAAATTGTATAATCTTGCACGCTGCAGTTTTATTTCCCACCAACTATTCTTTATTCCAGCCCACAAGATCATATGAATCTTTTTGAATTGCATTCTCATCTTCTTCTATGTGACCCCACCTTCCAACGTGCACACGAACTTAATACCCAAGGATACTGAAACGTGAGCCAAGAACAGCAACCAGCAGTGGTTTGAACAGACCTTGAATGACAAATGCCTGTGGCATAATACAGTAAAACAGATATCACAGGAACTCTTAACATTTCCACCCCATACTAGAGTGCACAGCTGAACTCAACCAAAGCACACTTCTGGAATCAGCTTATATTCTAAAAAAAGGTTTTGTTCCAGATGCTGAGACAGCTCGCTCACTGACAACAGCAAAATCTACAGAGCATTTTCAGGTTGTCAGTTGCTCTCGCACCCAAATAGCATTAGCTGTCTTTAGCAGTGTAACAAAAGAGAAAAGGCCATCTTGAAGGGAGAGAGCAAGATGAAGGCCAGATTCTACCACATGTAGTAGGTGATATTCTACACTAGTGGGGTAACAAACACATCTTCCTGACTTTGTTTTCCTCTATCACTGAGCTTCAGTACACAAAGGAAAGCCATGACACACTGTTGTTGGATTACCACTGAAGACAGCATTTCTGGATTGTGCTACAGTGCCCAGAGATAGCAGCAGTACTTGGCAACTGCTAACTACTTCCAAGAGACAGAAAGATAACTGTTGTTGCACAGACAACTTCCTGAGTAGACAGGGTGAGGAACCCGTACTCCCTCCTCTCTTCACATTCAACACTAACCCGCACAGGTCTTATAACACCTCTTCTTCTGACATACCTGTTTTGAGAGTGCTAATGTAAGTTTTTATTGCATCTCTGATTTTTTTTGCACCTTCTTGCTTCATCAGGGTCTTCAAGTTAGTGTCAGGCTCATCTTTAGCAAGGCTGACAAGGATCTAAACAGGAAGGGTAAGTGCTAGTTAACAAACTGATGCCCACACAATTCTTTTAGTGCTTGATACAACATCACAGAGGGACTTTAGCCATGCCTTCACATGCAGCAGCACAGCTTTGAAGTCTTTCACTTCACCTACGTCAGCCTACGTTCACATGCACATCTACCTAAGAACTTTCATATCCTAAGGATCCCGTACAACTAGAAGACTGAAATTCATCAGACAGAGGCTGCTGAAGTTATGTTGTATCTTTGATGTTCAGAGTTTCTATGGAAAAGAGATACTCGTGTTCTCTGGATTCCCCCTAAACCAGAGGGACACCCAGTAGTACCGGCCCGCTGCTGGGCTTACCTCCACTTCATCAACGTCATTCTCATCTGAGAGATTAGGAATCTCCACGTAACCTTTGTATTTCACTCCTGTGGTCGAGGTGCCTGCAACGATAATGGTTTTCTTCAGATTAACACTTCCTACTCCACCCGTTCTACACACAGCCAAGTACGGCATCACAGCGCAGCACTTTGGAAGCATCCGTCATCTCACACTCGAACCGGCCTCGAAATAACAGCAGCTGCCGCCACTCACCCGTCCAGGCCAGCTTGATGGCCCACTCGTAGAAGAAGATGAGCTTTCCCTTGCGGTTGTTGATGGAGGCCTCCCCGTCCAGCTTGCTCACTTCGGTTACCTCGCAAGCCCCCTCCTCGCCCTCCACCCTGACGGGCAGGAGGAGGGCCTTCAGCCGCTCCGTGGACCAGTTGGACGCGTCCCGCTCCGTCCTAAGAGAACAGCGGCCGCCGTGACGCCCTGTGCCGGGCCCCGACCGCCCCCCCGGCCCTCCCAGCCCCTCGGCCGTCCCGGCGCGGCCGCTCACCAGTGCCAGTTGTTGACGTTGGTGGCGTCCGCCCGCTGCTCCACGATCCAGCGCGGGTCGCCCTCCCCCCACTTGGCCATCGGGACCACCGCCGCCGCCGCTCCGACCGCCCGTGGAAACTGCTAGAACCGCCGGCCCCGCGCCACCTCCCGGCTTCCGGCACCGGCACGGTCCCTTCCGGCGCTTCCCCCGTCCCCCCGCCCAAGTTTCTCCGTTCCGCCGGGCGCTCCGGCCCGGACCCGCGGCTCCCGAAGCCGCCCCCGCGGTCGCACCGAGCCCAGCCGTCACGGGGCGGCCGCCAGCAAAGGCCCCTACCCCGCGCCGCCACGCGTTGAGAGCCGGGAGTCGCAGCCCGGCGCCCGAAGCCGCGCAGTGCACGCCGGGACTTGCAGTCCCACTGCAGCGCGGGAACGGGCGGAAGGCGGCGTGCAGACTGCCCGTCCCGGCGTGCCCCGCGCGGCGGCCGCCCTTCCTCCGGTGCTGTGCCGCTGCTGTGCCGCTGCCTGGGGTGGGAGGGGAGCGCGGGGAGGTGAGTGGCGGCGGCGGGGGGCTGCGCTCGACGGGACGGGACGGGACGGGACGGGACGGGACGGGAGCGGCGCTGAGGCCGCGTGGCGCCGTTGCAGATGAGCAGGGCGCGGGCGGACGAGGAGGAGTACTGGCACAGCTCCAAGTTCCGGGCCTTCACCTTCGACGATGAGGATGACGAGCTGTCCCAGGTGGGAGCCGAGCCCCCGCCCCGCCCCGCCCCGCCCCGCCCCGCTCTGTGGGGCTGCGTCCCCAAGTTGGTGTGTGAGCAAACTGTCTTCTTCCCGCAGCTGAAGGAATCTAAGCGGGCGGTGAACAGCCTTCGGGACATCGTTGATGATGACGATGACGATCTGGAGAAGGTCAGCTGGAGCGGGGAGCCCGTGGGAAGTAAGTGCGGGGTGCCGCGGGCTGGCCCTGGGTCTGGCCAGCCGGCTTCTCCCGTCACGTACTGAAGCTGTCCCACGTCACCTCTCCCTGTCAGCCCCCGAGGCTGAGCTGTGTGCTCCTGGTGTCCCCAGGGGGTGGGTCTGCCGAGGCCCAAATAGTATAAGCAGATAGAGTGGGGACAAGTGGATGGAGTTCATTTTGGTTCCCCCGTGTATATCTTAGAGCTTAGAGCAAATATTTTGGATGTTATGGCCTCACGTGCACCAGGCTCCGCTGACCTGCAGAGTTCTCTTTCACACCGCTGTCTGTCACCATTTAAAGTTCACCCTGCTTTGTCCCTGCAGTGCTTTAAGAAGACATTTCATGGTTCAGTGTGTGTTGGTAAGCTGTCTCCTGTGGTTAAAGTCTGAAAGAGCACTGTAAGTGTATTTCTAGGGGTGACGGATGTGAGTTCACAAGCCACACCTGATGCACTTTGCTGGTTTTGGGAGTTCATGACCTGCAGGTAATGGCAGCCAATGAGCCGCTCTCAGAGAGTGAGATCTTAAGATGTGGGTCACCCACAGTGCCTTCAAGGAACCTATTCTCCTCCTGTGTTGCAACTCTTCCCACCAGTTCTGACCTTTTCCCTTTTCTCACCTGAAGTCTTTACCTATCATCTGTTTAGTTGCACTACCACATCCCCAAAGTTGATTGTTCTGTAGCTGTGCAAAAAAAGGTGACAGCTGTGTTGCAAGCAGAAAGAAGACAAATGCACTGTCAGCAGCATGTGTGCATTGACAGCTGTTTTGTCTGTGTAGGGAGGAACTTTATCTTAGCTTTCTAGTGCCCAGGAAGGTGTGCTGTAATGCTTCTGTAATTCAAGATAAGACAGGGATTCTTTGTCTTGCTTTGTTCCTTTGTATTGTGCTTTACCCCTGTACAATTACACACAAATGTTTGGTGGGGTATGCTTTTTTTTTGTTTGTTTTTTCCCTCCCTCTCCAATATAAGCCATAATAAGCTGCACAACACTGCTGAATGCAACCATTTCTGGCTGGAGGGCAATAGGCAACTCTGTAGTAAGTAATATGATATGGGATTGAAATTCTTTGCTGGGAGTCTAGCTTTGGTGACGTGCTAGTGCAGAACTGACCAGGACACGCTTGGTAATATTCATACCCTGCCCCAAGATCTGTATTTACAGCGTGGTTTTCTCATTCTCTGTTCTAAATTACCTCTGTCTGTGCATAGGCATCTCCTGGTCAATCAAAGAGACAGCCTCCAGCAGCTCCCTGGAGGGCCGAGACACTGGTCTACAGAAGGGCTCTTCCTCCTATGCTGCTCTTCCTAAGCAGGTTTCCTCCTATTCCCTGAGCAGCTTGTTTAAAGGTAAGGTGCCGCATATGGGTTTTCCCTTAGGAGTATCAAAGAGAAATTATGTTACCTTACGTAAATCATTTCAGTGTGTTACAAAACAAGGAAGCTCTAATTATTTTTCTCTATGGTAGTGTTATCTGTCATTGGTCAGAAATTGGTGACTATGCCTGTCTTGTGCAGAGGTACCCAGCTCTTTCATTAAGGGACATGGATTTGAAGATTTTGGCTTCTGTGGAACCAAGCTTAACAAGAATAGGAAGGTAGAGCTTGCCTGATTACTGCAGTCTGTTTTCATAATGGACAAGAACAGCCTACAAAAGGACTTGCTTGATCCTTGTAGGCCTCATTTGACCTTCAGCAGTATAGAGAAGACGGCTTGATTATCCTTTACTTGGAGCTCAGCTGGCTGCTGTTGGTTGGTTCAAAAGGCACCTGGTAGCAGCAGTGGTAGCATAGCTGCTGGTCGGGGATTGTGCAGCAGGTCACTGAGGGGAATTAAGCAGCTTGCAAGAGTTCAGCTCTGTTACCTCACAGGACAGCGAGCCAGCTTTTACTTTGTCACTTTCTGGTGTTTTTCTACTAACGTATTTGATAATACTGTGAAAAACTAAAGGCATCAAAATTGCAGCCCTAGTGAACTAAAGTGCCAGTGTTGCGGTGGCCTAAGCAGTAGTGCATGCTGGAGCCTCTGCTTTGCAGGTAGATGAGCAAATTAAGGCTCTCTAACCTCTCCTAGCTGTGGCAAAGAGGAGACAGATGGGGCTGAGACGCAGTATAGTTTGTGATGCCACAGACTATTTCAAAGATTTAGACTACAAAGCAGGTGAGCCCCAGCTATGCCAGCAGCATGAATCACTTTATGAGAATGGCTCGTGCTACACTGGCATAGTGACAGCTCACCAGGTTGCAGCCTGAACTTGTGTTCCCTTTGCAAGAGATGTGCCAGTGAAGAGTCTTTCATGACATTTGTTTTGATTGCAGGACGAAACAGACTTCCAAGTTTGCCGTCCCTTTCAGACGGTAAGTTTTGAATGCCTGTCTCTCTTTGGGAGGTTTACATAAACCAAAGTATCTCCAACAAAGAGCAGTGTCATTTTCATAGCACTGCAGAAATCAGTTGTCTGAAAGTTGTTCAGCAAACCAGAGGAAGTGTTGGCATGATGGTCTGAAGGAATCTGATTATATACTGACGGCCTTTGGGTTTAGAGCAATTTTATACTGCCATTTGATGCTTGACTTTGCATCTTCTACCACAAAAGGCAGTTTTGGAAGTGGGTGTGAATCAGGATTTTGTTGTGTTACTCAGTTTTGTCCTGTTTTGTTTTTTTGTTTTTTTTTTTTTTGTTGTTGTTGTTGTTTTTCAGCCTTCACAGACACAGGAGTTAAAAACTATGCCCCAGAACTGCGCAGACCAAAAGCTGAGTACAAGGTGAGCAGTTCAAGTGACAGTGCTCTAAAGGTTCCATAAAAAGTGATTGATTACTGTTTCAGACAGCAGAAGACAATGGAGGGACTAGAAAAGGGAGCTGTGAAATGTGGAGTCAACCTCATAGTGACTTAGGTGTTTTCTGTTTCTTTCCAGAAATAAGGAATTTTGTTAGGGGATATTAGTTATTCCTTCTTGCCCAGCAGTCTCTGTGAAACGATTACCTCTTTAATTCTGGATCTGATGAATTGGCATCACTTAGGCTTTTTAAATGAAACCTAAAGGTTATGAATCACTGTAATGCCCCACCCTGATCAAGGGGCAGAGAGGTGAGGTACCAGTTGTTAGGAATGTTCTTCTCCCAGAGAGGCAGTGTTAGGTGTTGCAGAATCTTAAGGGATTTGGGGACAGGGTGAATTCCTCCTGTCCCAACCTACTAGATGTGAAATTGTAATTCCATGTCCCCAGGTTCAATCAGTAACAAAGCTGAGTACAAGTTCCCAACAGATACAGGCAAGCATGCTAGTAGCACAGCTGGCCACACATGTTAACACAGACCCCAAGCAGGATTGAATTTCACTAGTGGAACATAGAAGTACTCTGTGGATGTTTCCAATAGCTGTTCTGAGCCCTTTATGCTCGGAACTTCTCAGACTCATGTGCAGTGGTCCCCTAATATGGGAAGGGACTGCATCTACATAACAGACTGTCTATCTGGTATTTCAGTAAGCTTTTGATTAATTCAAATTCATTGTTTGTTCTGGTTGCTTCCTTTCTCTGTCTCTTTTGAGGCAGAAGACTGCATTACCGTCACTGGCTCACAAAATTGTAAATGCATTCTTAGAATTTTGAGTTCTGAGGAGGGGCTCATACCACCTTTTATATGATGCTTCCAGATTGTAGTGTCTGTAAGCTCAAGGGGAGGAGTTTTGGGCACTGCAGAACCTGTAGCATATTACCTGAAGATAGTGTAACTGCACTTAACTAGTCCTGTGGGAATCTCCAGGCACTTGCCCAAAGCTGTTGGGTTTTCCAGTCTGCTGTGGAAGGCCCTCCAGAAGTCTGAATTGTAGTAAGGAAGTGATTCCTTTAGCCTCAGTTCTGGATTTCTTAGTTTTGCATGTATTTTGTTTGTCCTTCTGTAAGTAACACTGGAGCTTTTATTTGCAGGCAAGACAATCTTTTGAAATGCACTTCTTGTAAAGGATGTGATGATGGCCCTTTTACCAAACCAATAGAAAGATTTTCTGTTAACTTCTGAGCCTCTGTCTTTCTCCCTAGTCAGCATATAGACTCTGAATGCCCAGCACCTACACCAGAAGACTGAGGACCTGTACTGCTAACCATCCTGGAGCATCCGAATGACTGAGAAGTTACACCGGGGCCACCACTAATACAGTACAAAAGGAAACTGACTTGGGAATGCTTGTCTAAAGTGGCCTCCTGAGCTCTTTGTTTCTCTTATGGCAGGATTACAGCAATGACTGGAGCCCCAGAGATACAGTCCGGCGAATGCAGAGGGGCAAGGTAAGGGCATTCCTCTTTCATCTGCTTGCTAGGGAGAGTAACTGCTCCCAAACTGCTTTATGCTCCCCTGTGCATCTGGCTGTTCCAGGAGCAGGAAGGGAATCCATGTTGCTTACAGCATCTGTCCAGAATGGTGTGCTGTGCCTGTCTGTTGCTTTGCCAAGTGGCAATGCAGAGATCACTTCAGGAGACCTGCAGGGTTTTGTTGGGTTGTTACTTGAATCATCCCTTCAGTAGTCTCTGACAGAAAGTGTCTGTACTTCTATGCCTTCCTCTACCCTTTCCATTCCCTGGGGCTGGGTTTTTGGAAAAGATTAGAGATAATGAAAATAGGATTAGAAATAAAGAAAATAGGAGCAATGTTGGTTACACCAGAGCTGGAATGTTGGTCTCGACTGCCTCAGTTTGCAGTGAGTCCACAGGAACTGCGTGCAGGGATTGTCTTTAAAGTGCTTTTGAAGTTACCTGTTCTTAATGTGGTTTTGTTTTGCATATGTCTCCTCAAAGGGGACAGATGGACGAAAGGCTGACAGAGGCCACAGTTACAGAATAAGAAGGAAGAGTTGTGCAACTCTATTCTTCTGTTTTCTTCAATGGAAAGGTTCCTTCAGAATTTCCTCCTCCTGACAGAAGTGGTGGCTTATAGCATGCAGAGAAGTTTTGCTTGTTTCAAGTGTGCTGTTGCAAGTGTGCTTGTGCTGAATGCACAGCATCTGCTGTTCTAATCCAGGCAGTAATAAGAGCCAACTGTGTGCTCCCAGCTGACAGATTGTCAGGGATCACACAGCACATGGTTTCAGCAAAATGAATAGTTCTCTGGTGGTTGGTGGAGCAGTTATCTGTGTTGCTGAAGGGCTCATGTGGGAAGAATAGGTAACACCTTTGGACTTAGTTCAGCCTGGAGACTTGCTGGTGTCTGTATAGCTACTTAAATCTCTTTTTATCTTCAGGTCTGTTCTCTAGAGAGGTTTCGCTCCCTGCAGGACAAGCTGGTGCTCTTGGATGAAGCTGTGGCGGGACATGATGGAAATGTCATCACAGCTGTGAGTCCTCTTCTGAAACTTTCTGGATGACCACACAGAGGGTGTTTGTGTGAATACAGTCACTTGGCAACCTAATCTTGCTAGGTTGGGGTTGTTCTTTAATTCAAAACAAGAAGTTACTGAAAATTGTCAAAGCCTATGGCTGAGAAGTTCTGTATTGCTGCTGGCTTTCCTGCCAGTCTGCAGAATGTATGTTGACCACTAACAACTGAGTCAGCGAGAAATTGTTCTTTGCAGCAATTTCTCGAAGGCCAAGGTTTAATCTGCTTACTGCAGCATAGAAGATTTGAGGGGCCTCTCCGTTTTTTCTAGTTTCCAAAGCATCAGGCAGCAGTTGCGGTGTCAGAGCTTCCCTGATCCAGGTCTTCTAAACCCTTGGCTCCTTCAGGGAATGGTTTTTCTTCGTAAATCTCTATCTCACTTAGCTAAGCTCCAGAGAAATTGGCAACTGTGGCCCTGACTCACTGCTTCTCCTGTGTTTATGGGTAGCAGAATTCACTTGAGTGCTGTAAGAGCTGTGCCTTCAGAGACCCTTTGCGTAAGCTTCCCTGCGTCTTGGCCAAGCTTGACAGTTTGTTGTCTGTCTTAATTCTGGTGAAGACACTTATGTTCAGCTGAGAGCTGCCTCTCTGTGCTCACAGGTCCTGATATTTCTGAAACGGACACTAAGGAGAGGTAAGTGTGACTGGGGTCAGGGTTTCTATTGCATGTTTCTGTTAAGGATGAAGGGGACAGTTCTTCTACTGGGTGCAAGTCATAGAGCCAGCAGCTGAAGTATCACAGCTTTGCTGAACATGAAATGTTTTTGTGGTAAGTGTCATGTGGGAGGGGGTTGGTGATGCATATGAGGAGTCCCAAAGAGGAACTTCGAGCACTGGTCAGTAGTGATGGTGATAGGGTAAATGAAAATTAATTTGTAGGGGTAACTCTCTACTATGAATCCTCTTTGCAGCCTAGAGAACAGTTTTCTCTTGTGCTCAAGCCTCCAGGCATGTGCTTTGAGTTGGGTTAATACTGCTGAATCATACAAAAGACTTGCAGTTCCATGCACTACGTTTAGCCCCATCAGTCTTGGTTATGTTAACTTGCTTTACCCCCATATGTGTATTCCTTTTTCCTGCAGAGGTCTTGTTTCGAGAGCTGGAGGTGCGGCAGGTGGCCTTGTGTCATCTCATCCATTTCCTCAAAGAAACGGGTGAGCAGAAGCTGCTTCTGGATCTGCTCAGGTGAGGGCTTGCCCAGCCATGTGGCAGGGCTGAGCACCCTGCTCGGAACCTGCCTCCAAGTTAATGCTTGCTTGTTCTGTTTTGCAGGTTCCTAGACAGGACTGAGGAAGTTGCTGTGAGTATTCCCTGGAGCAGAAGCTCCATCTCCTTGGCAAAGGAGTGCAGAGCATGGGAAGGGCAGGAAGAGGCTGGCTGTAGTATCTGGTTGTTTAGATGACAGCTTTGCATTCCTGTTCTGCCCCCTGAGGTCCTGTATGTCCCAAATCCATAAGAACAGGCTGCTTTTTTTCCGTCTCTCTCCAGCTCTCACAGTACCGGGAGCATTTGAACATCCAGGATGTAGAAAAGAAGAGAGAATTTCTGAAGGGCTGCATTGGGTAAGAAAAGATGCAGGAGGATGGACTTAGATGTGGATGCTTCACAAAAGCTGGTAATAAGGACAATTAGATCCTTGTCCTAGCACTGCACTTATGTAGTCCCAGAACTGATACTGGTTTTACCTCAGTGGCAGTGCAGTATTGTGGACATAATGTAGACCAGAGAGGAAGAATTAGTGATCACTAGTCTAGCATCTTTTGCTGCTTACTTGGGGCCAGAAATGCTTCAGAGACATTCTGAAGGGCGCAAAGCTTGGGTGCCTGAGCACTTAAGGAAATTGGTAGGGGCATGATAGGGGTGGCCAGCAGGGACAGGGAGGTGATTCTCCCCTTGCTCTTGTGAGGCCCCATCTGGAGTACTGTGTCCAGGTCTGCAGTTCCCAGTACAAGAAAGACAGGGAGCTGTTGGGGAGGGTCCAGAGGAGAGCCACAAAGATGATCAGGGGACTGGAGCACCTCCACTATGAAGACAGGCTGAGGGAGCTGGGCTTGTTCAGCCTGGAGAAAAGAATGCTGCAAGGTGACCTCACTGCAGCCTTTGAGTACCTAAAGGGAGCCTACAAACAGGAGGGGAATTAACTCTTCAAAAGGATAACAGCAGGACAAGGGGAAATGGTTCAAAGTTGAGGGAGGGAAGATTTAGGTTGGATGTCAGGGGGAAATTCTTTACAGAGAGAGTGGTGAGGTGCTGGAGCAGCTGCCCAGAGAGGTTGTGGGCCCCGTCCCTGGAGGCGTTCAAGGCCAGGTTGGATGGGGCCCTGGGCAGCCTGGTGTAGCATTAAATGGGGAGGTTGGTGGCCCTGCATGTGGCAGGGGGAGTTGGAGATTCATGATCCTTGAGGTCCCTTCCAACCCAAGCCATTCTGTTATTCTTCCCAAGTATACTGGATTAAGAGCTGCTGACAGTGTTTTCTTCCTGCATGTATGGCCAGGCTGCCATTTTCAGCTGAGGATATGTCCCACATCCAAGACCATTATACCCTGCTGGAGAGACAGATAATCATTGAGGTATGAAACCTTTGATTTGCTGGTCAGAAGGTGACTAGCTATGAGAACCCTATCTGTCCCTAGCTCATACCATGCTGGATCTAAACAGCCTGGCTAGTGTAGTCTGACTGCTAACCACGCTGCTGATCCAGGCCCATGTGGGAAGTACCAGACCTTAGACTTGAGAGCGCATTGAGGCTGTGCTGGTGCTGTCCTTTCATGACACTCTACTCAGGTGTATACTCAGAACTAGATCAGGCAGCTGCCCTGACTCATGTTCACATCTTTTTGTTTCCTCAGGCCAATGATCAACACTTGGCAATGGCTGGGCAGTCAGAGATATTTCGGAAATACCCTCGCAAGGCCTCAATTCTCAACATGCCACTAGTGACCACTCTCTTCTATTCCTGCTTTTACCACTACACAGAGGCTGAGGTGAGGATAACGTAGAAGGCAAGGGTTATGTCTCATCCCTGTAGCCCTCAATGTTTGGAGTGGTTAAGTTGGGCATGTTAAGGAAAGAATGAGAGGGAGGTCAGATTTCATCTGTAAGAGAGACTGAGAGGAATTTATCTCTCCTTGGCCTTCCAGGGCCAGTTTGGAGATTTCTTCCTTAAGACAGGACATTCAACCTGGAGTGGCATGTCAGGGAGTTGCCTCCTGAAGGAAATCACTGGCTTGTGTTGCAGCTTCCAAGCAGACAGAATTAGCCCTCAATTATATAAGGCTATTGGTCTCTGGAGTGCTGAAAGTGCACCAGCTTCAGAGAGCTAATGGGGTGGGTTAATTGCTCTCTTCTGTCAGTTCTTTGCTCCTTTGTCACTTTCATCAGCAAAAAGCTTGAAGACTTCAATAGCAGGGACATTCATCATGTGCAAAGCACAGCAATTGAAAGCGTCTGAGCCTCTTCCTTGGTGTCCTCTGCTTAGTTTGCAATCACTGTTTGCTCTCTCTAGGGAACGTTCAGCAGCCCAAGCAATCTGAAGAAGACATTTAAGGTATGTGCGCTTCTGGCTGGTGTGGCAGCACCAGCTGAAAATGTAGGCAGCCAAACTGTGTTTAGCAAGGGGACTGGCTTGGAGCTTGAGGGTGTCTGTGCTGGGGCAATGTAGGGAACACTGCATTCTTCTTGACTAGAGCCATTTCAGAAGCTCAGAAAGGTACACTGAAAACAGGGGCCAACTAGCTGCAACATCACCTGTAAATCCCCACCTCCAGCTCAGTGGCCATGACCTCAGGCAGTATCTCACCTCCTTGCCTGGCTGTTGTGAGTTTTGACAAGATAGAGGCAGATACCATTCTCCTCTGTGCCACACAGTCCTAGTAAGCTGTGCTAGTGCTCTGAGTGCAGCTCTCTGCCTTGCAGATTCCTGATAAGCAGTATGTGCTGACTGCCCTGGCTGCCCGTGCCAAGCTACGAGCCTGGGAGGATGTGGATGCACTCTTAACTACCAAGGTAAGGTGGGGAAAGCCTTACTGGGGACTCAGTTCTAAGTACTGGTATCTACTAATAGCTGGCTTGTTCTGGGTTACCAAACAGACTCGTTTATTTCAGCAGGACCCAGCATTTCTGGTACAGGGTGTTACATGTTCCTCTTTTCCCTGAGCTCTGCTGGGCCTGAATTGGCTGCAGCTATTGAGCCAGAGAAGGGGGCTGCTCTCATGCACTGTTACCAGTTGGTTTGCAGCCAGCTTTAGCTTAGGCACTGAATAAAGGGCTCTGCCAGTAGTACATATGGTGGCTGGCACGAGGAGAGATGTTATTTCCTTCACTGGGGAAAAACTGTTCTTGCTTTCAGATTCAATCTATGGCAGCCATGTTCTTTGACTTCAGCCTCCTCTGGCAATGGCTGGAAAGATTGACCTTTAGGATTAACACAGGGTTTGGCTGTCATTTCAGAACTGGCTGGGCTACACCAAGAAGAAGGCACCTATTGGCTTCCACCGGGTGGTAGAGATCTTGCAGAGGAACAGTGCACCTGTCCAGGTGAACAAAGAGCTGCTGCTTGTGTGCTCCTTCTCTTCACTGAGGTTTGGACCATGACCGATTTCCCAGGTCACCTGCCTGCAGAGCACGCTTTCCACAGTGTATTTCCAGCTGCTTTTGCTGCATTAAATTTCCTTATGTTTCATCTATCAGGATGCTAAACTGATCCATAGGGATGAGACAGTGCAGGGCTTGGGACTTTCTGAGGATGGCCTTACTTTTTTGGGGTTCTTAGCAGACTTGTCCTGGCCACTTGTTGCCCTAGGATGGAAAGGGCCAAGTCTGTGTAACCAGTGCCTTTGAAAGATTTTGCGATGGGTGTGAAAGAATGAGGCAGGAAATACCTGCAAAAGGGAACTGTCTTCTTTCCCTTGCAGGTGCTCCAGGAATATGTGCGCTTAGTAGAGGATGTGGAAACACGGTTGAACCTTGCCACCAAATACAAGTGCCATGATGTTGTGATTGATGTAAGTCTTTGCTGTTTGTATGAAGATAGGGGACAAAAGCCTGCTTTTTCTCCCTAACTTTCCCATGTCGCTCTACTGTCATGCACCTTTTGAAGTTTTCTTATTCCGGTGGCTTGGGAACAGCATATTGTTCTTAGTGAAAGCCAAGTGAGCCAGGAGCACAACTCCTAGAGTATGTGCTGTGCCCAAGCCTCTCTGCTTGTGCAAATGGACTGTGCAGACCCAAGTTATTGATTGAAACTTGAGGGGAGGTTGAGGGGTTGGCACCTACTCATCCGCAGGGCACCATCTAACTGATGAAGTGTCCTCATCACTCAGGTAGGTGCTGGTTTTGTTGTTTGTCTAGACGTACAGGGATCTAAAGGATCGCATCCAGCTGATGGCATATAAATGCAAGGTGGAGCGGGGCTCTGCAGAAGAAGAGAAGATAAACAGCCTACTCAGTAACATGGTAAGAAGCACCTGCTTTTTCTACAAACTTTTTGAAGACAGCCATAGGCTAGGTGTGCAGTAAGGGCATGACACCTACATTCTTTTCTCTCTGATGGGAAGTTAATGTTATGTTTGGGGTTACATTCAGAGTAAGAATTAAGGGTGATGCTGATAAAAGTAGCAGGTTTTTGCCGCGGTTGCCCTTTTCATGGTCTGGGTCTTGCTAACTTGGCCCAGGGGAACTGTGGTCAGCCTGATGTTAGTCATGCTTTGTTCTCTCTTTTAGCAAATCCGGTGGAAGAACTGAGCACCAGCGAAGTAACCTGCTTGGACGTTGCCTTGCCAGTACAAAAGGAAACTGTAAAAGCTGGTCCAGCACCAACAGAGCAGCTCTGTTACTAATCATTGCATGATCAGTGTTTGTCAGTGACACTGGGTGCTCGTGGGACAGAGGCATTCAAGCAGGTCGAAGACAACTGCTCTGATGCAGCCAGTGAAACCATGGTACTGATCCACAAGTGTTGATTCTTTTTGGAATCTGATTCTCTTTGACTTGGTGTAGGACAGTCATGGCTTTTGTTTACAGAGGGAAGTTGCTGGACCAGGCAAAATTGTGTTTGCTTATTGTGGTGTCTGGGCTCTTTCTAGCAAGAGGAACAGGTCAGTCATTCGTGGGTCTCCAGTAGACAATGCTGACCGACCAGTCCCTGTAACATTCAGGCTGGCTTGGGCATCACCAGTCATGGCTGTGGAGAACAAGGCCTACTGGACTGTGTTCTTCCCACATCAGAGTGTGAAGGGGGAAAGGGTCAGCTGCACTTTGAAGTCTTTCTTGGTTTGTTGTGGCTCACACCAGGAAAGAGGTTTTATGAACTCCTGCAGAGAGCCAGGGCAGCAGCCTCTGCCTGTATCCCTATGCTGGCACTTGGCAGCTCTCGGCAGGTCCCTTCATCAGGAAAAGAGTGGGCACGATGTGTGGAGCTGGTCAGAGCTGTGCTACATTGGATGGAGAGCAAGAAGGGGACCACTCACTTAGCACGAACCTGATGATCCCAGGAAGGATTGAATTGCACTTTCTCAGAAACACAATTCCTCAGGCAACTGCTGGTTTCATCCTTCCAGACCTCTCTTCAGTTCCTTAAATAAAGCTGTCTCTTTCTCCTCAGGCTGTTTATTTCCTTTCCACATTATGCACTTTGCTGCTCTGTGCTGATCCTTAGCAATTTATCACACCTCCCTCAAAGTGAGTATGCAGGGTGTTTTCTCATATCCTGAAATATCACTGTGAAGAAGCCTTGCTTGCAGCAGTACTTCATTTCATACTTTCCATGCTGTCAGTACAGATTAACTCATTTCTGTGTTTCAAGACCATTTGCTGCCTTGAAGGTTCTCGTACAGAGCTGAAGGCTGCGTACAGCCATGTACAAGTCTGAGGGCAAATTTGGGCTCCAGCATCCCTGCTGCACTGTGCACTGTGCAGTCTCAGTTTCTGTGATCACTCTTGTTAGTTTTTTTTTCCTGTTTTGTTATTGTTGGTTTTGGTTTGTTTGTTTTGTTTTGTTTTCCCCGCAGAATCATAAGCATGTTTAGGTTGGAAGGGATTTCATGATCATCTTGTCCCTTTCCCCTGCTCAGGTATGGTCAGCTGAAGCAGGTGGACCAGGACTGTCCAGATAGGTTTTCAGTGTCTCACATTTGGAGATACTGGCTCCTCAGCCTAATTAATTCTGTTCCTGTATTTGACCATCCTCACTGTTAAAACAATAAATTAAAAAGTTTTGTGCTTGTATAGAATCTCACACATTTCAGTTTGAGCCCACTGTGTCTCGTTCTATCACCATTAATGAGCATCTCAGTCTCTTAATTCATTTTCTCCCATCAACTACATGCATTGATGAGTCTTCCCCCGTGCTCCCCTTTTCAAGCTGAGCAGTCCTAGCTCTCAGCCTCTCGTATGGAAGATGCTACAGCCCCTTAGTCCCTTTGCTAGACTCTAATATATTCATGCTTCTGCATTGAAGTGTCCAGAATGGGACACAGAACTCTGGGTGCAGAGAATGGACTGTCTTTGACCTGTTGGTGCCTTTCTTTCTAATGCAGCCAGGATGCTGCTGGTTAGGGTAATGCTTTCTGCCAGGCTTATCCATGTGCCCCAGCCCAGGAATTGCTGGGCTGTTGCTAGTTGGAGTTAATGTCAGGGAGCAGCAGGTGAAGCTGAGCAGGCCCTTGCAGGAATATGGTTAAGCCCAAGAATAAATCTCACCTGTGTTCCCCAAGCTTGTGTCCTGGATACCTCATCTGTGGGAGGTTAGGAGCAAAGTACAGCAGGCTGTGCCTACTGATCCCTGAGCTTGGTGCACAGAATGCAGTGCTTCTGACCTGCGCATATTGGATTTCCAAGTAAATGCATCCTTTGGCTTGGGGTGAGTTCTATGCAAGCAGTTAAGTCTAAGTGGCTACAGCTCATTCTAGAGCTTGCATCTGTATTAACAGTGTAGCAGGTACTGCCCCACTGGTGTGGATGATTCGGGGACAGCCTCAGTGGGATGCATGTTTCTTTAATACCTGTCTTAAACCCTATGTGCTTTTGGCACTTATCTATTATTAGGCAGCCGAGTCCAGATGATGAAAGTAAATAATTGATAGATTTTAATGGAAGGAAGCAAAAAGAATAAGGAAATACAACTTATCTGCTCTCACCAACTGAGGTGCACCCCTTTCCCATGACCTCCCACAGGCAGGAGCCTATGCAAAGGTGCTCAGCCCCTTCCCTTGTGGTTTGTTTTTTCATGCTCGCCCAGCTGCTAGCCCTAAGGGCACAGCCAGACCCTGCAGAAAAAGCAGAGCCTGCTGCAGCTCCTGCTAGCCCAAGCCCTGCTATAGGAATGCTGCCAGCTCCCAGGAAGGGCTGAGAGTCCCATGGGGCAGTGGTAACCAGGTGCTCACCATGGCAGCAGGAGCACAAAGAGGGACAGATCCCCCGCAGAGGTGGAATGGTGGCTGGGTGTGGGTGGTGGATGGTGCAGGTCAGGACTCTAATCACGTGTGATACAATAGGCATGTGTTATCCTCATCCCTGGCTGAAGGTTTTTGGGTTTTAGTCTGTTCTTTATCTCTGTGCAGATCTGTGGTACACTGAACAGTGCTGCAGGCTCTATGGGATGCTGCATGTGTGGGCTCAGACACCTACTGGAACAACTTGTTCCCAATTGCTGCACTGCATTTGGGAACCAACCAATTTTACAGGTCCCTTGTCTGCAAGGAGTCCTGAGAGCAGCTGGAGTTCGTGCTCTGTCTCCCTTTCCTAACCAGCAGGTGCTGAGTTGCACTGCAGTGCTGCACAAATGGATGCCATGCTTCCCTCCTAGATCCTCACTGCTGCTGCCTGTCCTGAGCTTAGATGGGGGATATTAAAGAGGTTTTTGCGTCCTTCTTGGCTGCTGAAGCAGTAGAAGGAGAGGAGGCCCTGCTGTATCTTACAAGGCGCTGCAAGGGGCTGGCAGTGAGTGCGTGTGCCCATGCTGTCTTCTTCTGCAGACTTCTGCAGGCCTTCAGGTAAGGTGGAGGTGAGCTCCTTATGCGGGCTGGCTGGTGTGGTCATCAGGGGGTCTCACAGCACCCAGCTCATTCTAAACTGTTGCATTGTTACTGAGTGTCGTGGAGTTATTATCTCTAGATCTATCTGTGTCCATGACGGGGACAGCAGGCCCAACAGCTCCCAAAAAGGGGAGGGGGGGAATTGAAAGGAAGCAAAGAGGGAAGGGTATTAAAAACACACACGCACACACACACGCACACACACACACACACACAAAAAAAAAAAAAAAAAAAAAAAAGGCAACAATCTGAGGAGGAAAGTTAATTTACAAGTTATAATAGCAGAAATACATGTTAATTGGGATTGAAGCTAATAATCCAAATAAATGAGAGACAGCACACAAAAACTGAAGGGAACACAAGTTGCAGACGAGCAGTAAAAGAAAGGGGCAATCTTGTGATGACTTGTGTGCAGTTTTATCTTTGCCTCTAAATGGAAAACAGAACAGTGGAAGTCTTCTGGGAGATATACTTCTTCTCTTTTGAGAACCAGGTATCCAGAAATATTGACAATGAATGGAACTGGAGCATTAACTCTTTTAAATCCCAGTGCACCGAACAATGTTGTGATGTGGAATACCAGCAACAAAAAATCATAAAACCACAATACTGAGCTAAGACGTGGCACAGGTACACCACCACCCATCTTGGGGTAGTTCCAGATAGCACCAGATAGTGGATAGTGTGTCACTGGAAGAGCTGGGGAAGTGGCTGGGGAAGTGGCTCTGTAGGGAGCTTCTTGCAAGGCTCATGCCAGCTCTCTGTGAAGTTAAGGATTATATAGGTATGTGTATGCAATGATATAGTTTGATTGCTTTTTATCTGGTTCTGGATGGGTAAAAAGTCACCCAGTATTTACACCCACACTTGTCAGCTACTCAACACCCAGCTTTGTCTGAAATCGCAGTCAGTCTTAATACTCAGGGATTTTCCCCTTAGTTAGGCTGTTTTCCCTCTGAGAAAACCAAGGAAAGAAGATTGCCTCTACTACCAAAGGGGTTTTCATCCCAGAAATTTGGTGGTTCTCCATGCTTGTGACTTGTTTCCACCACCAGTATATGTGATTTATAATGAGCAAATAGTCCTATGTTAGCACATGGTGTCCCATGTCCCTTCTCAACAGCAGTCCTGTGACACTAGGCCATGCTCCCCATGCTGACTTCTCCCTGAGCTTGGTGTCATCATGGGGCTTGATATGCTGGGTATCAGCTCTTAATTTGCTGAGCTGCTTTGCAGCAGCTCATATCAGTGCCGTGGGCATCACAACAGCTTGCCTGGTCCTTGACCTCAGGGCCCCTTTTCATCCCCCTCCTCCTGGGAGTGTAGTGGTGGCTTTCCCCTAGGCAGACATACTTTGTGGGTTCCCTCCTGGCACATGGGGTTTGGTTGCCTGATGTGTTGGGCCAGCAGAGGGCCAGTTAGCCCCAGCATGAGCAGTGTGGATGCCATGCCCCTTGGCGTCCAGCCCCAAGCCCCATGGCTGCTGCACACTCCAGGCTGCAGCCATCACCTCTGTCATTCTGGAGACTGTGGGAGACCAGGGTGGGCTGCAGGGGGTGGGGCTGGGATGCTCTATGTAGATATATGGCCTGGGGAAGTCCTGAAAGGGCAGGACTGCATGTGGCACAGGGAAGTCATGGCTTCCAAGGGGCTGACAAAATTTCTCTGCTTCTCCAGGGTGAGCAGCACTGGGAAGACCTTGCTGACTTCTCTAGCAGACAGCCACAGCCTGAAGGTTGGCATTATTGGTGGAGGCCGTCTTGGGAATCACCTGGCCCGAGCACTGGTGGCAGTGGGTCGGGCTCCTTGCTCCAGTGTCCGCATTTCTACCCGGCGCCCTGAGAGCCTGTGTAAGTGCTCCCCAGCTGGACCAGGCAGCAGGTTGGGCTTCTGCTGTGCTTCTGATGGCCCTTCAGGAAGAATTCAGTAGAGAAAGTTTTCCTGCCATACATATTGGAGGTATAGAAACTTCAAATTTTATTTGGAGGAAGAACATGCTGTTGTGGAAAAGATCCTCATTTGGCTGGAAGCCCTCTGTACAAACATGAGTTCAATTTTCTGCTTTTCTTCAGCAGTGCCAGCTGAGCGTGGTGGAGACCATCCACCCTGTTCCTTTCAAAACTAGCCAGTTTCGGGCCCACTTTAGTTTAGCCTTCCCTCCCCCCCCCCCTTCCTCCCCCCAGAGACACAGACACTCATTTGACTGCTCTTTTTGAAGCTCTCCTTACCATTTGTCAGGGGCTGGGTGGGTGACTGTGACCCCAGGCTGTTACATGGCCATCCAAAGGCAGCTCACCAGAAGCGTCCCTCTACTTGTCCCACCACTGCAGGGCAAGCCCTTTGCTAGGCCCTGGGGTGCCTTTTGCCAGTGCTGGGTCCACGGGCTCTGAGCCCTGTGTGCCTTGCTGCAGCAGACTTGCAGAAACTAGGGCTCACCTGCTTCTACGACAATGCGCAGCTGGCAGCCTGGGCAGACGTCCTGTTCCTCTGCTGCCTGCCATCGCACATGCTGTCCATCTGCTCTGCAGTTCAGCCAGCCATCCAGAAGCCCTGCATTGTGTACAGCCTCGTCACTGCCGTTCCTCTGCCCAGGTAAAACGCACTTGGTCGTGCTACCATTCATCCCGAAGCTCATGGGGCAAATGCAGCATAGTGCTGGCATGGGAGCACAGCTCTTACAGCATCTCATGATTTTCTTGCAACGTTGCTTCAAACCTAGTCAGCGTACTCAGCCACTCCCCATCTGTTGGTCACTGGAGGACTGGGACGGGGCTCTGAAGCAAGGTGAGCATAGACACCCTCGTCCTCTCCTTGGGCTGCCTTTGCTTTCAGGTTGAAGCAACTCCTTTGCTACAATGCCATCGTGAGGCCACAGTACCAGTGCCCTGGCAAGGAGCCTACAAAGGAGTGGGGGACAAAGGGGTCGGTCACAGAAGCACTGCAAGACCTTGCTGTTGTGCAGGCAACATGCCCCCTCAGCTCCCAAGGTACAACCTCTCATTTTGGTTAAACTTGATAGTGAATATTAATTTTAGCACCCTCACCTAAAATGATCCCAGAACAGATTTCAGATAAGCTTGCTCTCATTGCTAATGCAATTGCTTACAGGAGTGGGCTGAGAATCTCTCTTCACACCTGTGTGCACAGTGGTTACTGACATTTGATTTTCTTTGTTGTGCAGCGAAAATAAAAGTCAATGGCAAATGGCTGGTGGGCATTTTCTATGCAGCCCTGAACAGCAGCATGTGGCAGAGCCTGCCTCACCAGGAGGCACTGGCATTGCTCAATGACCTCTGTTTCCCTGGACACTGCCATATCTGCGCAGAGCAGAAAGCTTCCTGCCCACAGTTTACATGCGAGAGTTTTGTCAGCAAAAGTTTTGCCTCTTCAATGACTCAAGAGGAGTAAGTAAAGGGTTGGATGCTGAGGTACTGTTTTCCCAGGCTTTCTCTGTACTCTAGAACTTGCCATATCCCACAGCTGGAGCATAGAGTTGTCTTGCTGGGTTGGAAGGTGCTGAAATGTGTTTTGCTCTTAGGGACAATATACCTGCCAGGAAAGATTGCTTTAGATGTTCTAGAAATAAAAGACCTGGACTGTCATCACTGGGTTGTTTTGTCCTGGTCCCCAGTTCCTGTCTGTCTACTGGTCAGGATTGTCTGAAGCCACAGGTCAGGACTGGGCTATCAGATGCAGAAAACAAAATCCCCTGGGAATATTTGGAGAAGATTTTTTATGGGTAATTAACTTACTTTAGCTCACAGACAAGATTATTGAGGATGTTAAGTTAGGGCATTCTGCTTGTGGGAAAATGCCCCTATTGGTTCAGGAGCTCCCTGCAATCATTATGTTCAGCTTTGCTTTGAATGGTGCAATAATGACTGGAACTTTAGATTCAGGTCTTGGAGTATAATTGTTTCCCAAAACCAAAGAAAGAAGCTAGCATTCAGATTCTAAAGAAAACTGATATTTGTTAAATTATTAGTAAGACTGTTATTGCCTACAGAAGATTGTTTTCTCTCCTCAGAACCTTCCCATGGTTTGACCTGACAACTGCACAACTGAGAGAGTCTCCTTTTAGCCAGCTGCTAGAAAAGAGTGAGTCTGTCCAGAACCACCTTGCTCTGCTGTATCAGTCATCTTTTGGAGACTGGCCCACAAAGCAGTGTGTGCTGACCAGCGCCAAGACTTCTCCTACATTAGCCATACCAGAACCTGACATGGTGTTGATTCAAGACTCCTCACTGTCCACAACTTCTTCGAAAGTTTTTTCAGGAATTCCAGAGGAAACTACTGACTATGTTTCTACATCCTCATAAACTGAAATGAACTCTATGATATGCTGAGATCTCGTCCCAAAGGGATGAATACCCAGAGATGTTGACAACTCTTTTCCATCCATTTCCATTGCTGATCTCAGTAGCGTCTAGTGGAAGAACACACTGTAAGGACTTTGTATTGCAAAAATAATGCCAAAAAGCAAATAAACCTTTACTTATCAATTTCTCAGTCATAATGCAAAACACTGATGGAAGTAGGTAAAAGATTATACAATAGAATTACATTGTCTTTCTTTCCACTCTGTTTCCACCTTTGAGGATCTCCATTTTGCATCCATCCGCAGTCTTGCCAAACATAAAAGCAGTCCCCTTTCTAATGTATCAGCATGGAGATCTCTTGATTTTTCACATTTTGAGACAAGAATGTGCATACTTGCTTTTACAAGTTTCATGCCCCTTTTGAAACTTTCTTCATAAACCAGTTTCTTTCTAAACCTGCTGGAATCTTGCCTGGTTTTGGTCTTTGGTCACACAGACATCTTGGCCTGTGATCTGACTCAGCTTCACCAGGTTCCTATTGCAGTTCCAACAGAAAACTGAATTACAGTTCACTTGTGGTGGTACAGCTCTAACCCAAAGAACTGAACAGACCTGGGGCCCATTTTTCTTTCCCATGTAGGATCTCAGGGAAGTCTGTCACCAAACAAAATCATGAAGATTTAGTCAGGAGCACTCTTTCAGTTGAACCAGGCTTTAACCAACACTTAACTCACAATTCCTTGCTGGTGACAGTTTGTGTTCCAGCGAGGTTGTACAATTCAAGTCCCATGGCTCTTACAGGTTCTGTGATACCTCGCTCAGGGAAAAAGAAAATTTAACTAACTATGTATTTTGTCCAAATCCACTCAGGACCCAACTTTAGCTTATAGTATTCTTTCACACTTCCTGCCTTGTGTTGCCGTACTGTTTGTTGTGATAAACCACTTCTTGGTTCTGTTTCGCACAAAATCAGTTCTGTGATCAGGGCAGGGACTGGTTGTTTACATTGTAACTTGGCACCTCCAGACTGCTGATAGCAGCAGGCAACACAAATGTGCACCAGACACTGTGTGTGCCATTTGTCTTAAGTTTGTGGTTAGCAGTGTTCCCGGTCTGCAGACACTAACACCTGGGAGAAACTTACTCACTTGAGCAGCAGGGAAATTATTGCCAATCACTGGAAATTAAAATGTGTCTAGGATTGATTTTTTGTCTTCTTAATCAACTGTGAAGCAGAAATGAAAGACAGACCGTCAGTGGTAAAGTCACATCTGATTTATATGTTTTGCTTCATTTGGTTCCTGGAAGCACATGAATTGCAAAAAATTCTTACAGAAAAGAGCCAATGCAGGGACGTGTTTGCTGTCATCAAAATGCCAAGAGCCTTTTATATAACGTGAAAAATGTGAAACTATACCACCCTGGACAAATAGCAAGCTAATACGGGTGTATACTGCTCTCCCAGGTGGGCTTCTTACACAGATGGAACTGCAGTGTGACTCTAACCCTGAGTCTGTGTGCTCTGTGATAAAAGGAGAGCATCTATTTCTACCCCAGTCTGCCCCTGTGGCAAAGGAGGAAATGTAGAACGGGGCTCTAAGCCTGCTTCCTGGACAAACTGTGAGAAAGTGAGGGCATCTGCTTTCTGTCCAGATCGAGACTTTTGTTCCAGGAACAGACCCATGTTGTCTCTGTATGGGAGGGCAATGGATCTGCTGAAGACAGGCTCCTCAATCCCCAGCAACTCCCGCACATGTCGTGAAATCTCCTGAAATGCAAATATATCAGACCAAAATATCAGAAATTCTCACTTCACATGACATCAGCTTATACCATTTGGTACCAAGGTAGCAAAAAAAGAAACTGAGTTTCTGGATTTTGGAACATTTTCGCACTTAAAGTTGCAACTCAGGAAGGATCTGAAAGCGTGATCCTGGTATGATATTGTAAAAGGAGTGGAGACTTCATGTTTTCCAGAGTTACTGGGGGTGACAGCCTCACAGCAGCTTTCTTTAGTGGCACAAACAGCCTGGCTTTCCTGATTGGACTGGCAGAACAAACAAGTTACAGGTCAATGAGCTGGAGTCTGCCTAATGCAAAAACATTGCTGTTTGCAAAGTTATACTGTTAGTAACTAGGTCTATACATAGAAGAGCTGGAAAAACTAATGAAGCTAGTAAGCCACATTGCTCATTAAGAAAATCAGAGGTGACTGGCTGGCTGAGCCTGCTTGCTGGGACTGTCAGTGAAGAGGCTTGCCATTATTCTTGAAGTCACTTGCAAGGATGTAACCTTCTGATTTGACTGAAGCACTGAAACGCAGTTCACAAGGTTTTATTGGTCTTACACAGCATTTCCTCAGAACCTTCTCCCAGCCTTGCTTTGAGCCTCAAGAGCAGCACACTGCTTTATCTGTGATCAAAATAACACTGGAGTGGTATTTTCAGTGGCTTTGATATACTTTAAAATACCAGTACAGTGGAATTAAAATCAGCAGTAACTTCACTTGATCGTGCTGAGAAGCTCTCATAAAATTTAATGTGTAGTACTTTATCAAACTGCTATTTCTCCTATATTGCAAAACGTTTCTGTGTCATTGAACTGATACTATCATGCTCATTTCTACAGTAACTATCAGGCTTTGGCTGCTATCAGTTTTTTCCTGATATTTCTGGCTGGGAAGCTTGAATGCCCCTGTGTGCAGCATTACAGTGTTACCTTTGCACCTGCTCCAGTACACTCTTACTGAGGTCCCTAGATGGGCCACAGTCAGCTTGGACCTCTGTGAACCTGAATCCCACCCAAGTAGGGTAGAGGTAGAAGACACAAACAAGCAGCAGGATGGAGCATGATTTTGAAGAACATCTAGGTTCTGCTGAACTCTGAGATTATCTTCACTCACCAGCTTTGGAAAAAGATGGTCTAATTTGTAAGCTTGCTGGAGTATGTCAGCTAACACTTACCCTGGCCTGGTTAGTTTCTCCTTCAGTTTCTACAAGAGAAAAAGCAGGTCTTGCAGTTGATTTCTCTAGCCTGTGGCTTAGCTTTTCCCTAGCTGTTAAACAACTACCATATAAAATCCCTATATCCCAATGAGGAGCTGGGGATTAAAAATCATATAAAGAACTTGGTAAAATCATATAAGAACTTTGGTAAGTGCAGATGACTGACTGCAGAGGCTGTCTCTTCTTCAACTAGACATACTCTTGAGAGGTTTCTGTATGAACAAAGCCAGCACTGCAATGTGAAGCCTTCCCCTCTGGAATCAACATTAAAACTCATGGTACTAATAAATATTTTTGGCGGCATATTCAATTTCAAACAAACAGTTAAGATTGCTCAGCCAGAGGGAAGCTTAGAGGTGAAATTGCTTTTTGGTACTCTAGAGTAAAAAAGCAGTGTTCATATGCTATTCACTGGAGCACAAAGATTTTCTCTCTCCCTGGTTATTTGAACTTCCACTTTGTGCCCTCGGAAAGCGACTGTAAATCAAACGTGAAGCAATTGGCTTGGCTCAGTAAGTGCAGCCTCAAATCCCTGTTTCCATTATGGAGAGGAAAGAGGAAATGAAATTTAAGTCAACTTGCTCTGATAACAAAAAGAATCAATGAATCAATTCTAGCAGTACTACAACTGGGTAAATTATCCCATCTAACTTCTGAGAATAACTGCAACTAGGTATCACCTTCCTTTAAAACCAGATGACTTTTCCCATCTGTGATCCAAAAGAGTCTTGTCCTTATTCCCTGAAGAGCTTTGCTCTCCTAAGAAAGAGCTGCAAGCATTTTGGATGTGTTTTATCAGTTCAATTTTCTGTTACATTTCCCTTTAAGGATTATTTGTGTGGTCGGTCTCAATTTCTTAGCCACATAATGAAAATAGGAAGAAAAAGCAGGCCAGTAACTAAAGCCTGAACTAAACTAAACTGAACTGAACTGAACTAAAGGTAGTTCACAACTAAATCAAAACCTGTTTTGTTCCTAGGCTTGTCTTAGATCCACTACCTGACTTTGAGCTGGTGTTTTCCTCTCTGCTCCTTTCATACTGCTACAAGGACCTCATAGGGACGCTGACACTCAACTCTGTTGTTCCAGTCTGAACTCTGCTGTCCTCTGGCTTCTTGTGCCAGGTCTCTGCACATCTATGCTTTGTAGGCTCAGAAGGCTCTGATCACTAGGTATACATGTACCTGCTTTGAACTGCGGGTTGTGTAAAAACCTAGTACCTTTTGATCCCAAATCAGACCTCCTTCTGTTCCTTCTGCATTAGCTGTGTCTCTGATGTGGTTTCTTACAGCAGTAGCTTATATCAGTGGAAAGCAGTTTTATCTAGGTTTCCTCCTACGTGTTATTTTAAGGCTCTTTTTAGTACATAAATATGTTTCTTCTATGGCAAAGGTCTTTATTACCTTTTGTTTGTATTCAAGATACAAAAGTTTGACTTTGCAAGAGACCGGATTTGATTGTCAAAAGGGAGGATGCGTTTAGGGGAAAGCACGTGATTACAACTGAAATCACAGTCAGTAGTGGATGACCGTGATTCAGACAGCAGATCCATTCCTGATTGAAATATCTCTTGGAACTATTCAAACAAATCTAAGCTCATGCTTCTCTAGCTATGACTACTGTTGCACTGGGTACATACTGTTGGGTATCTCAGCACTTATATTCAGTAGTTTTCTTTTTGATGCTGATTTTAAGGTGACGGGTAACTGTAAGCCGCAGCAGTCAAACCACACGTCCCAGGCAAGATAAAGCTAAATCACTATGAATTCCTCTACTTTACACTTTATAAAACATTGGGAACATCTGTGCTGCTTCCGCAGTGTATGTACAGAGTGATGTGTAAAATCTCTTTTAAAAATCCAGATTTCCTTTGGCTAAACCCTGCGTTGGCTGAGTGTTAGTGATATATTGGAAAGTAAACCAAAAAGCAGTAAGGATTAGTGGATCCTTTACTATTTTGATGTTAATCCAAAATTTACAGCCAGTGTCTCTGGTATCTCACACCACTATACAGCTGCTGGTTTCAATAGAACTACAGTATATAGAAAAGAAGTGTGATTTAATGAAGAGTAAACCTGAGTGTGTTTCAAATACTGACCTACTTATGCAACATGTTTAGGTGAGGTTTCTTGTGTTTCCTATTGCCATCCCTAAACGAGGGATAAGAAAATAAAATGAGGAGTAAACGAAAGATCAAGACGCTCTTTTTCATCATGGTCCTAGTGAAAACTAAATGAATTTAAAAGGATACAAAAATTACCTACATATAGTGTAAGTATGAAATGCTGCATCTCTGCACCTTCAGGAATCTTTGGAAGGGCAAGCCACAGCCTTAACCTTAGCTTATCTGTTGGTGGTTTTAAAGAAACAAGGTCTTGAGAGGAAAATAACCAGAAAATTACATGTTCACAAAATGGGGAAGAAGCAGAGACATTTGTGTTCAGCAGAGTATAAACAAGGAAGTAATAATGAGTTGCCCTCCTGCTGCTTGAGAACTGTGGTTTGACTGTTGCAGGTTAAAGCTGCCCAGATTTGCAGATGTTCTACAAATTAAATCAAAGAGATCAGTAAGTGGAAAATTACTGAAAGGAAATTCTGAGGGAGTGCCTATGAAAGACATTTGCATCTTACAAAGCAATTTTCTAGGGTCAGAGGAGTAACACAGGCTAAAAGAAAGACAAGGCATTTCTGATGGGATGATGTTGTCCTGGAATGGCAGCCTGCAGCTCCCAGTCAGCTACAGAGTTACATCTGAAGACCTGAATAACACAGTCATTGGGTTGAGCAAAACCAGTTGCCTGTTTTCAGGCTCACTGCTCACACAAAATCTGTCTGGACAGATGAGTGACAGCCCTGCACCCTGGTGAGCAGGAGAGGCTGGAGCTGGACTCTGACAGACCGAGGCAGCCGCAGCACCGCAGCACACGTGCACCTGCATGTGTCCGAAGTCTGTGATGCCCAGGGCTGGCAGGTTGGAGCAGTTCACCAGGATGAGGCGGCGGCCAGTGATGCCATTGGCTCTGAAGCACTCCTGGGCAGAGAAGCAGAAGGGAAGGTGACGGCAGGTCCATAGCCCTCGGCCATCCCCTGCCAGTGTTGTAGAATCATAAAATCACAGAAAGGCTTGGGTTGGAAGGGACCTCAAAGCCCACCCAGCCCCTGCCATGTGCAAGGCTGCCCAGGGCCCCATCCAGCCTGGCCTTCAGTGTCTCTAGGGATGGGGCACCACAGCTTCTCTGGGTGGCAGCACCAGCGCCTCACCTCCCTCTGAGTAAAGAATTTCCCCAACATCTAACCAAAGACTCCCCTCTGTTCCGTTAAACCCATTCCCCTTTGTTCCATCACGGTGTCCAGGGCCTCCGACCCAGGAAGCGGCAGCCCCGCACCTGGTACTGAGGGAAGCCGAGCCCCGACACCCACTCCGCCACCTCGGCGGTTCCCCAGGCCAGGACTGGGCGGGCGAGCCCCAACCTCGGGCTCGGCCCCATCGGCGGATGCGCGTCCCCCCACTCCCTATTGCCTCGGTAACCGCCACTTCCTGCAGCGCACCCCGCTTTCCCTTCCGCCGGCCCCCCGCCCCCCGCTGGCAGCGCGCCGGCGGCTCTGCGGAACCCGTTCTCGATTGGCTCCGTTGTTGGGGAGGGACACAAAAGCCGCGGTACCCCGCACCGCCCCCTTCCCGCACGCACGCCGCTCGGCTCTTTCCGCCTCTCTCTCCGCTCGGGTGTTTCCGCCGGCGGCGGGCGCAGAGCTTCGGCTTCGCTCGGGTGTTTCCGCCGAGGCGGGCTGCCGCCCCGGGCCCCGCGCCCGCCGGCCCTGCCCTGCCCTGCCCATGTCGGACGTGCTGGCCGTCGCTGCCGGCTCCCGGTTCGAGCCCCCGACTGCCGGGGCGCCGGGCGGCTTCGGCGGCGCCGAACTCTCCTCGGGTACGTGCCGGACTGCGGCGGGCGGGGGGCGGCGTGGAGATGCGGCTTGGGCTGCCGTCGGGCTCCGCGGGGCGGGCGGCAGGCGGGGAGCGCGGGGGTCCTCGTTTGAGCGCTGCCTGCGCGCCTCCTGTCCGCGTGCTTTCCCGATGGAAAGTGACTTCTTTCCCTGCCTTCTGATTGTTAGAAAATGAAGCCGCAGCCCAGAGGACGGAGCCCGAAGAGCAACGGGGTGATGGCTCGGAGCGCAGCGCCTCGCCGTGCGGGTAGGAAAGCGTTCGTGTGTTCTGTGCCCCGCGGGCGTAAGCGGGTCTGCTTTGACCTGTGCGGGAGCGGCCCCTGTGCTGATGGAGAGAAGGGGCTACGGACCGAGCTGTCTGCTTTCGGGCAGTGTGTGCTGGATTCGGTATAGGAGCAGCTGTCCCTGTGGGCTTACGTTTTAAAGCCTATGAAATGACACAGTGTAGCTCATGGCTCACCTGTTCATGCTGCAGAATCGATCAGGTTGCAGTCAACTCCAGAAGGTTTTGTAGTTTGTGGTAAGAACTAATGAGCTTTCGGGAGATGTTCAGGGCGGTTCAGTACTTAAGCACTTGCACTGTGTGGAGGCTGAGCAAACATATTCCTTACGCTGTTTTCTTGACAACGTTTTTGTTCTTCAACTTTTGTCTTCTGCATCAGCCTTCCCCTAATGCTGCTGCCTGGCCACTTTATCAGATGCTGATAGGCCTGTCGTTGCAGCTGGGTGTGTGGAGTTTTACTTTGTTAGAGTACGTGTGTTGCTTGGGACACAGTTTCAGAAATCTGCAAGCTCAGTTTGTCAAAAAGTAGATCACACTATTTGTTAAACATCAGTCTCATTTAAAAAAGAAAAGACAACAGCAAGCGACTCAGTAAAACAGCTGTTTGATGTCATCATAGTTTGATGTGGATCACACTGATATCAGCCTTCTTGAGTCCAAGCGTTTTTTATATCACTCTTTATTATTCTATCCGGTCTTATTCAAGGAATGAATATAGGCTGTGAGCGGAATGGCCAAAGTAGTTGCTGGGTATTCATGGGTGTTACCTGATGAATTTGTGTATGTGGAATCTCCTTTGAAGGGAAGGGGTCCAAAAAGGATGATCCAAGAAGGCTGCTTGATGAGGAATTGCTGAATGCTGTAGATCTGCTTGAAAAGCTTGCTCATGGTGGCATGAGCCGTGTTTGCCCTGTTCTAGTCTTCTGTATACACTCAGTATGGAATATGTTCTGAGTGGAGCTGCAATCTTTTTTAAGCTATTCCACACTAGATTAATAGTCTGATCCGTTGCTAATGAGACTATTTCTCCCATGTGAAAGGATTTTTTTTGTTGTTGTTGACAGTAATTTAGAAAAAAAATCTTCAGCAGAGATAGAATGCCAGGAATGTTTCCTTTCTTGCTCATTCTTTTCCTTGTTTGAACCTTTCTTTTTGTTCTGGAATGTCCCACTCGTCGCAGTGCAGATCTTGGACCTCTTTACTGTTGCTGTCCTGCTGTTGTGTGGTGTACAGCTCTCTTGTCTGTGCAGCATGTCTGAATATGGCAGAGAGACCTGTGTGTTCTCTGTATTTCTTGGGATTTCTGATGGGGAAGGTTGTGGTAGGGCGTTTTCAGGCTGGCTCTCAAAACTGTTCTGAATCCTTTCACTGTGCTAGTTGGCCTCTGATGTCATGTAGTAGTTGGTATAACAGAAGGTATTTTGAGCAGAAAGTTGCTGCTAATTTCTATGCTCACAAACACTGCACTGAGCTTATGCAGTGAATTAGCTGCTGTCTAAAGGACGTTAAATATGGAATGTGTCTTTGAAGTTACTCCTTCTGTCTGGTGTGGAAGATTTTCATGAGAAGACAAGGGCAGAACTCGGGTGCAAAGGGCTCTCTGCAAAGGCGTTGGGCAGGATGCTCAGTGTCTCTGTCCCTCTGAATTCTGGCTGCCTTGGAGTGATCCTTCTCACAGCTGAGCTCTGCTGCTTGTGACCTGAGTATAAGTACTGAATTGTGGTACTTTCTTCCTCTGAGAGGTTGCAGATAGGGTCATCTGTGAGTGCAGACGTGATAGAAGATTCAAAGGAAGACAGTTGCACTTTGGAGGACCAGAAAGTGGCTGAAGCAGAAGAGAAGCTGCCTGACCAAATCCAGTCCACTAAAGAGGTAGGTGGTTGTTTCTGACATCTACAAGAAAGGAAGGAGGTGCAGCAGCATTTCTTCCACCCTACTGCTGTGCTTAATGACTGTGGGACAGGCTTTAAGTGAATCAACTTTCATCTTAACAAAACCCTTATAGTCCTCTATATGTTAGAGGTAGAAGTTCTGACTGACTTTGCAAAATCTCTCTTGTGTACTACTGTAGTCCTTACTTCCTTGCAGTTTCTGGTGTGCCAGGGTTTCAGGGTTCTCACCTTCTGCCTCTTCTCTGGGTCTTCTAGGGATTCCCTTCATGCATGTTTATGGAATAGAAGTGGAAGGCAATCTGCCATCTTTTGTCTCTTTTTTTGAGCAGCCAATTTGCTTGTATTACAAATACAGCTGGGAAAACTTGTGCAAGTGTCACACAGCTCAGGAGCTGTGTATTTTCATATATGGAAAGAGGGCTGGCCCCAGTGAGCCAGATGGACCTTTACCCAGGATGCAGTTGATGTCAGTATGATTGTGCTGCAGTACTGATGCAGACAGAGCTGAAAGGCTCTCCCTAGAGAAGCAGCACTTTGGGAGTGCTTCCTGGGAGCAGTCAGCTGCATCTGCGAGGCTATTTCTTTGCTGAAGGATGGCAGTTAAATCTCAGAAAGATGCAAACGTGCCTGCCCAGAGACTCCTGGGGAGGCTAAGGCATGTGTGATTTGTGACATGAATGCAGTGTGTGACTGCAGAGTGTGTGGTGCAGTGGGGAAAGTAATGCAGCGAGGTGCCTCAGACCAAGATGCTTCTTTCTAGTTCTAACAAAAGCTTCTGCAGGATCTGACTTGACTTCAGCGTTAATTACTACTGAGTTGTTGTAAATCCATCTGAGGACTTTATTACATTATAATCTTTGTGACTGGATGTATGCACTTTGTGCAGGAAGCTCTTGTTCGAATGACCAAGTACCACATACATCAAGGAGCAGGGGATATAGTCATGATTCAGTCAGATCACACTGGTGCTGTGGATATCCTTTCAGCTGAGCTGGAAACTGCAGACCTCCTTGGAGAGCAGAGAAAAGGTGAGGCATGAAAGGACCTAACTTGCTAATTACTCTGTGGCCATTTTTTTAAGTGCCAGTGCCTGCCTTGGCCAGAGAACTGTCTTAGAGGCACTGCTGGTTCCTGTTCACTGCTGGTTCCCACTGGCCTGTGGGCTCCTTGCTAGTGTTGTGAGAAAACTTCATATCTGACTCTAGAATACAAGAGCCTTACTGAAAACAGTGAAGCTATTTACAGTAATTTGGCCAGTAGTAATATGAGCTGATGATCTTTTCCTCTTGCTTCAGCTCAGCCTCCCCCTCTGGCTCCACCTACTACATGGACCACAGGGAAGGTGAAGGAATTCAAAGCCAAGATGGAAAAAGAGAAGAGTGCTAGGATGGTGGTGAAACGAGGCGAAGTGGTGACAGTCCGTGTGCCAACCCATCCTGATGGGAAACGTGTCTGCTGGGAGTTTGCGACAGATGATTATGACATTGGATTTGGAGTCTATTTTGACTGGACCACTGTTACTAGCACTGCCATTACTGTTCAGGTCAGCGAATCCAGTGATGAGGAGGATGAAGAGGAGGAAGAGGAAATTGAAGGTTGGTGCACACTTTAAGAGTTATTTTGTGGTGCTTGTTGCCATGCTGCTAAGAATGTTTGTCAGATGCTGTAATTTCCATCTACTTTGCTTACCCAGTCCACTTATTATCTCTACAGCCCATTGGGGTTTGGTTAGGCTAAAATGGCAGAGTGGTTAGCCCTTCCTGCTTCAGCACTTATCAACGTCTGTCCTCCTCCAAGAGCATTTTTTGAAACCTAATACACTGAAAAATTAAGGAGAAATCACTCTTCCAGCTGATAACAAGCTTTTCTAGCAGAGAAGTTTTTGGTAGTAGGTGATAACCAAAAGGTTCTTTTTTGTTTTCATGTTGTCCCGGTGTATCATTAACTTGTGCTGACTGTCTCTGTACCTGTGAAACTCATATTACCTATTCTGTGGTTTCAGTATCTTTATGACCAGTGCATCTGGGGGTTTTGGTGTCTGAAATCAATCTTGCAAGTTCTCCAAAATGTATAGGTTCATATTTGAGAAATTTATTCTTGGAGTGAATTGAGGATGTACAAACACAGTGAAGCTATAGTGAAGACCTTTTCCACCTTTTCCTTGCTCCATGTCAGTAGCACTGGGCCTCCTTAAGGAGACCTGGTTGTGGCATATATAAGAGGAGTGAACTGTCTTAAGTGAAGTTAAGTCCAGGGAGAATAGGCCAGGCTGGCAGACAAGTATGTACTGTTTCATTAGTATTGCGAAGAGAACTGATCCTCAATGTGTCCTTTTTCTTGCAGTAAGAAAAGTTGAGCTTTGTGGGTAGTATTAGCAGAGGTCAGGGCAGACACTAATGTAATGCTATCATAGGTAGCCCTCGAGATGAAAATGTTTACATTCCTCTGTATTCTGGTCTTATTTAGCTTTTTATGAGCCATCTAGTAGCTTAACTGATGCTATCATGCTTTCCTCCTCTTTCCCATTTAGGACTTGCCCCTGTTGGTGATGTGGAAAGGGGCTCCAAAAGCTCTCTGCGGAACCGCTATGGAGAAATCATGCCTGTGTATCGAAGGGACAGCCATCGGGAGGTGCAGGCAGGCAGCCATGACTACCCGGGCGAGGGCATCTACCTGCTGAAATTTGATAACTCGTACTCTCTCCTCCGCAATAAGACTCTGTTCTTTCATGTCTTTTACACTAGCTGAAGGGGTGGGAAGGGGCAGGGATGGCAGACAGGAGGTGGTGAGCATAGCAGGCTGCCACCCAGCCCTGATACTCCATGATGAGCACTTCTGTGTGACAGAGCAAAGGCACAACTCTGCTAGCGACTCTTCAGACACAACTTGGTTTCTCCCCACGCCCTCCTTTCCAGCTATCCTGGTGGAGAAGAGTGGTTGTGACTGGTTGTTCACAGGCAGCTGTTATTTGTATGAAACTTTGGGAGTCCTGCTCTCTGTAGGTATAGTGTTGGGCCTTCATCATAGCCAGTAAATGCCCAGAGGCCAGGTGCAGCTGGTCTTGGTTTCTTTCCGTTGCAGTGGTACAAAATGAAGTCAAAGTGTTCTTCATCTGTTGCTGTTCTGTAAATCTTCAGGCTCTTCTGCTGTATCTGGATCACTAGAGGGCAGCTATCAGCTGCAGAGAGGCAAAAACATGTCTGGCTTGTCACCAAACCACTGATAAACTTATCACTTACTGCCACTATGTGTCACCAGCTGCCAGCACTTCCTTTGTTCCTATATGTGGGGATGCAGCGTGGCCATGCTACAATAGCCAGCTCCAACCTATGGTACCCATGTGTTAGAGCAAAGTGTGTGGGGCTGGGGAGGGGAGTGCACAAATAGAAGTTCATAGGAAGATTTTCCTGTGGATCAAGAATTAGATATTGCATCTGTAGATTATAGAGATATAAAAATTATGATTAAATCTCCAGTGACCACAAAGTTTTTTTGCTTTTTTTTTTTTCCTGTAATCCAGATGTAAAAACAGAAGAAATGGTTTACTGCTGTATTGAATAAATATGAAAAGGTCGGGATACGACCAAGAAATATATAAGAAGTGTTTCTTTGTAGCAGCATGTTGATTCACTGGCATTGCTGCCAGCTGAATAATAGCATATATAGGAAGGAAGATGCTCCCCAGGGAAGCATAGTTTCTCAGCTGCTATTGCTGTTACAGAGGTGTTGTTGCAAAAGAGCAGAAACTCAAAAGGGGTGGGATTTTCCCAGTCCTTTCTGTAAACCAGAATGAGCAAGTCCAGTGCTAGCCCTGATCATGTGGTGAAGGATAGAGTTCCTTGACATGTTTTAGTGGCTATGATAGCACTTCCTGCTTGAGTATTGGCAGAGTTGAACAAGGATTATGTTAATCCTTCAGAGATGAGTTTTAAATCACATTTATCAGCAACTGTTGTTTATTTTAATACTTAAAATCATGCTCTTTTTAAGAATAGTAATGTGTTTACGCTTTGTTACCTCTTTGCAGACACAGAATGGCTTTTTGCATGGTGATGCTAGTAGAATTCTGAGTTTTAATTTTTAAATCCTCCAGGTAAGGCACCTCTATTTGGTCCATTCCCTTTATTGAGGGGGATTGATGAAGAAAATGATTTTGGGGTAGTTAAGACCAAAGATTTCACTGTACTAGGAAGGCTGTATATTTCCTCTTATGGCTATATTGTAATGCTGTGGAACTTTCTTTATGTTCAAGCTCTTCTTCTAGCTGTGATTACTTATTCGCTGCCCCAGAGCACTTAATAGGTCAAAAAGATGTGTGTGAGAGAGAGATGTTTATAATGGAGCAGCCCAAGCTTGGAGCAGGAAGAAGGAAAACCAGAAAACTGGTTGCTCCATGGGTGAGCAGACAGGAACCAGAGCTGGCCAGGGTAAGGAGCAAGCTGGTGCTATTCTGGGCCTTGAGTTGGAAGCCTTTCTCAAAGGAGAGAGAGGACCTGGCCACAGGAGAACTGCAAAGCTGTCCCTCAAGCAGAGGGAAAGGGCAGCCTTAGGGGGAGGTAGAACAGTAAGACTTGGTATCTGTCATAGTAAAGTGATTTTTAGTTTAGCATCTTGGGGAATGTTGTTTCTTCCTTTTTCCCCCTCCTGGGGAGATGCAGAACCATCTTGTGGTGTATGTACAGCGTTTGAATCAGGCCTGAGCCACTTGCATAGGGCTTCCCCCACTCCCTCCCCCTTTTTTTTTTTTTTTTTTTTTTTTTTTTAACCCTTTGCCCTTGAAGTTCTTTGACAATAAGAAGGTAACCTTTAATTGACCAAAAATGTCAGTGCTGCCCAATGCAATTACTGCCTTTGGTCCTTTCTGATGTAACCTGCAGGGCCCTACGTGCACTTGTTGGCTAATGTATGAGACACTGTGGCACCTGATCCAATTTCTAATTAGGATTTATTTATGATAAAGGGAATTTTGACCTATGCACAGCAATTGTAGAAAATTTATCCTGATCCTCAGTTTCACAGCGTTCTGTGGGATACTGTTATTGCCACTATATAAATGTTTCTCCTATAATGTGGCCTTCCTATTGCTAATTCACAGCCACTTCCCCTCTCATTGTCTGTATTTTGATCATATCCTCATTCAAAATACATATTTTAATCTTGTAAGATGAGAAAAGGACCTGCCTGACTACCAGTTCTGGTCGCTTACTGAAGCAAATAGTATGTGCAAGGTATCAAGGTAACTTGTTAGTGGTTTTAGTGAAGACAGAGTGTCTTGTAGGTGATGATCCTATTGCTCAGTTCTAGCTTTCTGAAATGTGGACCAACCTTTTAATAAGGCTCAGGTCATTTGTTTGGAACTGTCCCCATCTCTTAGTCTCATTGACTTCAGCTTAACAGAAGCATTGAATCAGGCATGTTATCCCAATCTGTATGTGCCTGTCCTGCAAAAACATTACGCCCTTAAACAGACTTGGAACTAAAAGTATCTAGTATCACACATCTAGTAGTGTGTATTATTTCACTGCTTATGCTTTCCAGAAGCATGTGGTATCTCTTATGAACACAAAACAGTTTTTGGTATAGAATGTTTCATATGCAGGAAACAGAAGCTTTACAGTTGCACAGGATAATTACCCTTGGTGTATTCTTTAACTTTTACATCACTTAAGTGTTTCTCAGGTCTTAAAGTATCATTCATTATCTAAGTGACGACTCCTTTTAGGAAGGATCTGTAGTCTTTATTCGTTCTCTGGTAAATCTCCTAGCTTGGATGCAAGGCTAGTGATCAACAGTGGCCACTTGCATTCGGAATTGAACTCATAGTTGTTCAAAGAAGTAATCTCCTTATTTCTTGTGTCCTTTTTTCTGTTATCTGTGTATCCTGGACTTGTATCTGATCCCGCTGTCTGCTGAAGCAGTGATGGAAGCCATTTTTGCTCTAATTGCGAACTTGTGGAGCTAAATGTTGGGTTTAGAAAGAAAAATGAATTTAGAAGGCATTTTCACTTCATTGATTCACAACTTGATTAAGGAATAAGCTGCTTCTACATTTTGTGAAGTTGTTTTGGTTTTTTTTTTTTTTTTTTGCTTTTGTAAAAGCACAGAATTGTTTTCCAGTTTGTTTTGAATATGACTTAGAGACATAAAACAATCCTGTGGCGTAGGATTTGCATAAAAATTGGGTTGTATAATTGTCCATAATAATAGTAACAATCCATCTGTTGGGTATTTTTTAATGTCAAAGCAGGTAATAAGCTATCCATTGTTTTATCTTACTCTTCTCCCTTAGCACTAGTGTAGCAGCAGGAGTTGAAAGTGTACGTGTTTCACTGAGGACTGAGAGTTAAAATTGCTTAAGTCAGGCACCCCTTGTACTGTTTTAATTTGCTAACCAACTCTGGAGGCCCACATTAAAGGTATTGGTGTCAGATATAGGCTATTCCCAAAGTAATATTTGGGACTCATTTAGTAGTTATCTACATTAATACTACCACTAAGCCACTTACATGAACAGTAAGATGAAAGTGTGTGCTTAAGGAGAGAAGGAGCTTAACTAACTGATTTGAGGTACTAAGACAAAATTTGAGTTACTATGCAACAGTCTGAAAGGTTGCCAGATTCCTTTCTTTTTGTTCCTATCCTGTGAACTGTCTCCTTGTAGTTGTGTGCATATAGTCGTGTATTGCCTGCAGTGGGGCCAGTTGTGCTGCTGGACTTGATAGGGTAGACTGGAGGTGACCCTTGTCACGTGTCTAATTGCTGAAAGAGGTACTTGTTCTTGTGAGCTGGAAACTGGGGGTAGAGAATTAATCTCTAAATGAGTTCACTTTGTCCCCACTGCTTGTACCCTTCCTTCTTGTCTCACTACTTGCTAGTATGCTTTGCAGAGGATTTATCACAAGGTGCCTTAGGAGCAAGGAGCATGTCTGAAGTATGAGCCACAGATGTCATTAATCCAGGGGTTTTCTTCTTGTTTCTCTGCCTATTTGAGTAGGGTTGAGGCACTAAGATCATGTAATAAGAGAGTCCTGGTTGGCTGTCCTAGGGATTTAAGTTGTTCATTAGTCTGCCTTGTTGCTGTAAGATGAGTAGTAAAATTGTTAGTTTCCTGGCACACTAACTAAAGTTTTAGAGTGAACATCAAATGTTGGAGTTCAAACACATCTTGCTAGGCCAAGAATTTCCTGTGCAATTATTCCGCATTTGCCTCCAAAGAGTCTCTGGCATTTTATTCTGAAACACTCGTGCTAATGCAGCTGAAGACAGAACATCAGGCTGAATGGATGGATCTGTGGTTTGACAGTAAGGATTATCTGGTTTAAGCCCATCTGGACTGGTGAGTGAAGTCTCTTAGGCATGAAGCTGAATGCTAACCATTAGAGCTAAAGAGGCTTTACTTGACTTTTAAGTTTAGAAGCTGTTCTTGGAAACTAAATAGTTGGAGACGATCTCCCTGTAACTTCCTGAATGCCTGAGTGACTAACTGCTCTCCTCAGAGTGGAGCAATCTGCTCTCAAGTCCCTGCTCCAATCTGCTAGCATAGTCTTTCAGTGGAGAGTATCTTGTAGGTGGTCATATCTTTTTTTTCCAGACATATATTCTTGTAAACTGTGACAGCTGTCTCTAAGTCTTTATTTATGTGACATGAATATATTTGTTGTCCCAGAACGTTGAAATTCATTTGTCTGTACCAACCCATTGCTTTTCATCTCCTCTGAAGAAATTAGTTTTAAAGGGAGGTTACTTCAACAAGATGTGGCACCAAATCTCTTGCTGAAGAGCACATGTGAATATTTATAGTGTGTTTGCTTTCCTTCTAGGCTTGGTTTGTATTGTTTATATTCAATGTGTTGTGGCTGATTTGTAATATTATATTGAAAGTTATTCCCTTTAAATAAACTTTTCACTATGCAATCACAATGTTTGTCTTCTGTTTAAAGAGAATGTATTAACAAAAGAAAGTGAAATACAGACTTACCAAAAGAAACATGAATACAATGAAACTGATTTATAAGCAACAAAATAGCAACTATTCCAAGTGTACTTTGCACTGTAGTGGACACTTCAGTTGCAAACGCATAGGAAAATGTGCTGTCAGCTAGTGATCACTGCTCCAGCTAGGACATTCTATGTTAAAATGACTTGTGGTGATTGATTATTTATTTATTTATTTATTTATTTTAACTCTTCAAATCATCTGCAGCGTTTGCATTTGTACTGAGTATTTGAAGACCTGGAGAGGAACAAGCAAGTAGCCAGTCTCGTAGAACTGACTCAGAAAGAATTTGAATGGCCTATCATTCTTTGCTTCATACTGGCTCAGTTTACAGAGATCACTTTTAGCTAAGTATTCTGTTACTAAAGCTTTCAATCTGAAAGATTAAAAACATATTTTCAGCTACCAGCTACTGATGAAATTATCTACAACAAGGTGTTTGTCTTTAGCAATTTCCTCATAGCTGCTTGACCATCAACTTCATCTCGCTATGAAGTCTGAATTTGTGTGGCCTAGAGGAAGCATCTTCAGAGAGTGGTTATTGGTCAAAATGAGACCTAGGGTGGCTGAAGCTGTGGATACTTTCTCATGTATTGTTTCAAAACCCAGTAGGGCAGATGCTGCATGAGTTCAGATGTCTCTCTTCTCATCTTGTGTTTGCCTGGAGCATTTGTACAAAATAATGGATGGGCAGCAGTGATCACACAGAGAAGTTGATCAAAGGGATCCATAACTCTGCCAAGTTAAAGATACTGTCTCTTTTTAGGAGTATGGAAAAGAGGCAGCTCTTCAGTATTTGACTGCCATTAGCTCGCTATGATCTCTGTCATCTGTCCTGGCTCAGGCATGGGGCCAAGAGCACAATTAAACAACTTCGGGGATGCAGGGAAGCGATGTGACATTTCACAACGTTATTTCGCAGTCTTTCTGTAACTTTAGTGGTTGGTTGAGCTGCATAGGGATGGACCAGCTCTTTGGCAGCGAGCTGTGCTGGCCCCGCGCAGGAGGACGCTTTCCAGTTGCGCTTATGGAGCACGATTCCCTTAGCCGCTGAAGTGCTGTCACTGGCGTCAGTGTCGCATGTAGGGGCGGCGGGGTCGCCTCGGCCGCTCCCTCCGCGTACGGGCCACGCGATCCTCTCGGCTCCTCGCGGCGAGGATGTGGTAGGGGCGGTTGATGCCCGGCGGCCGCCCACAGCTGCGCCGCCCTCCGGCACCTCTCTAGTGGCCAGGCACGGCCGCTTTTTTTTTCTCTCTCCCCAGCCATGCTGCCAGCCTGCCGCGGCCCCGCTGCCCGGGGCGAGCTGGGAGCGGGCGGTGCCGCCTGGGACAACGACCTCGCCTTCTACGTGCTATGGGCGCTGCGGGAGCCGCCGCGGCGGCTGAGCAGGTGCGGCCCGGCCCGGCGCTGCCGTTCCGCGGGCGGCGGCAGCCCCGGGCGGAGAGAGGGGGGCGGCGCCGGGCCGGCCGGACGTGCTGCGGCCTTAGGCGGGTGGCCTTCTGAGGACAGCGCTTTCCTTCGTCGCATCCCCGTGCAAAACGCTCTTGAGTAAAAGGAGCCCTCTCTTTCTATGCTTCCTTGGTATATTTTTGAGCGTTCCTGGTTCTTCTCTGATTGTATGTTTTGTTGTTTGCTCTCCCTCCCAGCCAGTCCAGCAAGATGGGTTACCAGGCCTGGCTGCCCCTGCCACTGCCTAGGCAGCTGGTAGTGTTCAGCCTGGGGGACTGGAGCTGCTACTCCCCAGACACCTGCATCACAGTGGACGTGTTGGTGGCACCGGGCGTCAGGGTTCAGCGGCTCGGCACGCTGGGGCCTGCCTGCAGGTAGCGGTGTGACAAGGCGCTGCTGGGTGCTGCTGGGCTGCCCTGTGCTTGGCCCTCCTTTTCCCTTTCTTTCAAGGCTTTATATGAAGTAGACCAGAGCCTTCCGGGATGGCTCTGGGAAGACTGAATATAACAGAGGCATAACCAAAAGCCACAGGCACGTTGTTTGCACTAAAACTATCACAGATCCTGTGGAAGAATCTGTTTAGAATAGGAAGTCTTAACTGTCTAGTATGATGGTTATTTGGATAAGAATACCCCTTTACCTCTTAGAGATTGTGTTAGTTCTCCAGAGCTGTCTCGCATGTCATTGGCCATAGTGTGAAAGAGAATCAGAGTCAGCCCCTGTCCTGCTCTGTTTCATGAGGTTACATTTGTACACCCAAACAAAAGCTAATCCCTAGAGCTTCCTGTGATGTCTCTGCCGCTTTCATAGTTCTTATTTTTTGGCTTTGAGGTGCTTCCAGCAAGTTTAGGAGCAAGAATTCCTCAAAGGTTGGTGCTAGCTGTGGGCTGAAAACCCATGATGCTCTGTGCAGGTCTCTGGTGTGGGAAGGAGACTGGCGGACGGATGTTTTCATGGCCTCATTGAAAGAAACGCATGATGGCAACCCTGTGAAGCTTGTCCTGACTGTCCATGGACAGGTGAAAGAAACAATAACCCCTCTCCCTGTCCTGGATTCCAAACCACATCATCTCTGCCAGCTCTGAACTTTAAACTTCCTTTCTCATTCTGTTGTGTTTCTTCTCTTTGCTACTTCAAGGCAGGGCCACATTGCATAGATCTGTTAACATATCTGGTCTGAACCTCAGCCTTCCTCAGTAATCCAGTCCTACTCACTAAACACAACTTTGCTAAAACACCTCACGTATTGCAGCAGATATGCAGCAGAGAATGGCTCACTTCTAATCCTACTTTCCTGGATTTGTGGTAGACGAATGACTGCTTTACAGTGTGCTAATGTCCTTGGATTTAGAATTTTTCACTGTCTGGCTTTTTTTTTTTTTTTTTTTTTTTTTTTTTAAATTTTGTTGGATTATCCCAGAAAGATTTGGGCTATTTCCTTGCTGGGAAAGGGAACCTGTCCCTTGCAGTACATATTTTTGCTCATCTTCTGTGGCTGATAGTTTGCATGGACTTTTGTTCTAACACCATACATTGTTGCTCCTGTCCCAGCTGCTCCATGGAGTCTCCAGCAGTACACCTGCACACTCATTTCTGGTCCCAGAGACCACCCAGTCCCCAGTGCTTCCTGCTGATGATGGGCCCCTTGATCAGGACCTGGAGGATCCTTCTGCTGTAAGTGTGCACTGGGTCCTTCCTCTCATCAGTTCACTCCTCCTTGGTATGTGCTCTGTCAACTGAAACTGCTCAGCTTGAATGTAGCAGCAGCACATGCTGCCTTTCTCATAGAAAGTACCTGACTAAGCAGGTTTTGGAGTCAAAGGTTCATTTGTGCTGCAGAAGTTGGATAATATCTCTAAAGGGGTTGAATTTAACAGCACTGATGGGATCACTAATCCACGTGGTTACTGGCACCGATGCCCCTCTGCCTCTCTGGTCGCCTCTGTACGAGCTTGCCTGTGGCAGCCAGTAGCTGAAAGCAGGCCACTGGCTGGGCACATGGCAGTGGGTGTCTGTGTGGCTTGGTATGCGTTTGGCAGCTGATGTTGTTGGCATGCTGACCCTGAAAATTAAATAGGAAAGCCTGAAAACAGCCACTGCATCAAACTTGTCTCTGTCCCTGATACAGATAAATTTGCAGTAGCCTCAAGTTTTTCTCTTCATAACTGCTTTGACTAGAGCTCTTGTCACAGGTTAAGGGTCAGAGCTCCAAGATGACTGCAAGAGCTTCCTGGCCTGCTAGGAAGGACTTCCACACATCACTAAGGAGCCTAGTGGTACCCTGCGCCCTGAAGCAACCACCTCATGGGATAGAACCCAGTGATGCCTGGAGGGAGAGTCCTGTCTGCCCCAAGGAGCCCAGGAAAACTTTATTTGAACCCAGAGCATCTGAGAGAGAGCTTGATGTAGAAGGTAACTGTCAGCTTCTGGGTGTATTTATGGGTCTTATCTGCGCTGTATCTCACTGCTGATGGCAATAGATTTCAGTTCGTTTCTTGGTGTGCCTCCAAGATAGGGTTGGGCTTGTCTGTGCCTGGCAAAGTACTGAGAACTGCTCCTTCCACCTGGATAAACTGCTTGAGCAGTTTTTGTCCATTGGGAAAAGGATATAGAACACGATGTATTCTTTAGTGCCAATATTCTGTACTGTAACATTATATGCTTTATCACTTCATATGAGTAAAAGTGTTGTAAATGAGGGCATGTACCATTAGCCTTGTCTTACGAAAGAGTAAACAGAGGCAGAAAAAAGTAACCTACTACTATGTTCTGCAATCTCTCCATTAGGCTGTCTGTTCCCCTACCATCAGCATACCACTTGGTCCATAGAAAGACATTGTTTATTTTTAAAGTATGGAGGATAAAAGAAGAAGTATATATAAGTAGTATAATTACACTGAATTTTCGGTAGTGAGGAGGTAGCTGCCAAGGGTTTTAGGAATTAAACCTTTAGCTTCTGGAGTGTGAATTTCAAGTCAGCTCCCAGGTGTGACCAAGAGCGTGTGTAAATATTTGACAGTAGCTCAGTGGTCACTGTGTGAAATCGTTTACTGGGACTTGCTTCTCACAAAGATAAATTTAGGGGGGGAGAATGAGGTTTTCATCAGCAATGTAAAATGCAACAGCATGATAGCCATCAGAGGAGGTGTGCCTTGCTCTTATCTGTCTTCTCCATCGCGTCTGATGAGACTTTCTTCATGATTCTTGGTCTTGCAACTGGTTGCTATCAGGTAGCTTTGGGCTGGGGGACTGAGGAAAGAAGGCCAGGGGGTTCTTACACCGCAGAGCTGAGCATTTCCCAGGGTATGTCTGCTGGCTGCTTTCTTTATGGAGCTATCTCTGTGTTTCTTCTGCAGATCTGGCAATGGAGGAGTTGCAAGGTGAAGATCTGGTTTCTAGACCCTGGTTTGTCTTTTCATCCAGCTGACGATGCTATTCCCTTTGACATCACAGGCTGCTTGTGTTTGATCCTTTA